AATAAACATTGCTTCATCAAAGCAGCGTTCTAATTAATAACAGAAATCATTACCGACATTACGTTAATGACTTAATGTTATACTTTAAAAATGTAAATAAATTGACTAAAACACTTGCCTAAAAGTTATCCCATGAGGGCCCTTAACCCCCTGAGTTGGTGTGCACCTGCTAGTGACCAGTGTGTGACCAGTGTGTTAACTGCTAGTGACCAGTGTGTTAACTTTATACTTTGGAACTGTAGTTTATAACTTAACATTGTTCATTATGCCTGTACACTGTTGGTATTACATTATTACACTGTTCAGTGGTCATTCACTGCTGCCTTCACTGTTTGACTCACGTTCACTGTTCTCAATGTATTTAAAGAGATACAATTTATTTGCATTTCCTAATTAAATAGTGTTATATAATATTTATACAATAAACATGTGTGTATATTTCTAAATTGATCGTAATTAAACATTTTAAGGCGTTATGTGCCGAGTACTGCATCTCGGTAGTGCTCCTCGATTAATAAATCATAGAAACATTGTCGTGATCCATTCCACGTGTAACCCTTTAAAGCACAGATTCGCTTTCTTCAGAATTCTTTCCCAGCCCTCTCTTACTTTCCCAGTCAACAAAAGTAAAAAGTCGCCCTATAATTCCAATTGCACTTAGTTTCCATGTTGTGCATAGTGTATTTAAGTTCCTTTGGGCGCAAAGGTTCGCCTTTTTGGGAGTAAATTAGTGCACTTTAGCTAGCCACTACGTAGCGTTAACGAAAGTAAATAGTGGTCAGCATTCCCGATCTAAATATAATGGCGCCATCTGACACACAACCTTTTATTTACCTTTTCTACGTTTTCTGAAATTTTAGTCTTTATTGGAGCTTATCTTCATGCATTTTCTTTTTGTTTCCCTCTTTTCAAAGTCACTTAATAAGTTATTGCTAAGTTTCTGAAATATTGTTACTGTGCAATGTGTGCATTGTGCAACACTCCCAGCTCTCGGTATTTACCTCCTACCTGTAACATTTAAATTTAGTCGTAAAGTTACTTGCAAAGTAAACGGTTTGGAACCAAGAGGAAGTATTGAAAAAGAGGTTACAATGTCATCATACAAAATATCAGAGCGGATAATGATGAGATCGTCAGAAAATCAGATTTGGTGGTTGTCTCATTGTCTCAACCGTTAGGTTAACAACGCTAATTGAATTGTTGAATTTTTCTGCTTCACGTGTTTATTAAACACGTGAATCAAGGTAATGACTGATTGCTTTAACATTTGATATCCATATATCAGTTTTATGTTTATATGTGCTCCGATTTCGCTGAACTATTTTACGGTTTTATATTTTGTTTGAAATAAAATTCTTCGTTTAAATTTTAATGTGAATCTTGATTAAAATAAAATTCCATAATATGAGTATGACGTAGAAATTCTGATACGTGATTGCTCTATTTTCCTTCATTTAGTCTACTCATCAAATGAAACTCGATAACAGAGTATAACATGTATTATGGTTTGGTTGGTTATAGAACCCCGGAACCCGTCCCCAGTCTCGTATCGGAAAATGATCCAACTCAATTCTGATACGGCTGGTACCTGCAAGATACGGCTGGTACCTGCAAGAGTATTTATTAAGCATTTATAAACTGTCACCAATCACCGCTCCACCCTGGTTTTACTAAACCAGAAGACATAAATCTGAAATAGAGAGAGGGGTCTTCCGCTATTGGTAATCAGCCGAGAGAGAGAGAGAGAGAGAGATATTTAGCTATAGGTATTACTATACCGGAGATCTTACTTCCAAGTTTCAGCAGTTCCCGATGCTGCAGACTGAGCATTACCTCTATGTACCACGTGGGGTGCCTCGTGACCACACCCCGTCCAGTCACAGCTAACCTCCTGTGTCATGTTACCCTGACATCTGACAGTGTGTTTAGTATAACTGCTTATTGCCGCTCATGATTATCACGCGTGATAATTGGGGTGTAACGCGCGAGCGGGTTTTCAGTCACCGTTTATACTTATAAACCCCTGATAGGATTCGGTATAAATCATTGCAGTATTAGGTTCTTCAGGTAAATTTAGGCAGGTTTTTAATTTAATTACTATTCAAGTCTGCAGTGCCAGAATACAATATTGCATTACGTTGGTTGATAGTTTGATTTAAAATGAACGGCACGATCATGCTTTATATTCACTCTCAAGTTGAAATAGATTGATTCATTCTAAACTTAATCAGAATGTTGCCTTACTAACTATGTAATTTATGGATATATAAATCTCACGATTTAAATGTAATTCTGTAAAATTTTGAGCGCTTGTAAAATCAATCGTCGCTGTCTAGCACTATCGTAGTTGACTGAACTGTTTATCGTCTTCTTGCAAGTCTTTAATCTGTATGCCTCAGTTTGGACTTGGTAGTAGAGATTAAGATTTAGTCGTCACGTGCCATCACACGTGCTATCACACGTGCTGTCACACGTGCTGTCACACGTGTTATCACACGTGCTGTTACACTCTGACTAGAACCGTCTAACCTGTCTAACTAGAACCTGGTACTGGTACATTAGAAAGTGCGTATCACTGCTCACGTCATGAAGAGTATGGTGTGGTACTAGAACCACCCGAGCCCTCTACCTACCCTCCGGAACTCTCTGGACGCTTACAATTATTTTTACTGTTCTGGTACTGGGAGTGCATGAAAGTCACTTCTTATTAGTGGATCTGGTGCTAGCGAGCAAAGTCAAACCGTCAGTGATCAGTGCTAGTGCTAGTGAAGATTGATTAAGTGACAACGTCAGGAATCACCGTCAAGTTGGTTCATTCTTTAATTGAAGTTCACAGTTCAAGTTGGATAACTCTTCAATTGAAGTTCACATGTCAACCCTCCAGTAAAGTTTAGGTATCCATGACCAGGTTAGGTAGTGGTAATTCAGAGTATGGTTCTACTACCACCACGCGTATATGGTAGCGGAACTCTCCCGAGCTCATTACATACCTTTACTGGTGCTGGTAGTAGTAGTCGAGAGAAGGCGGTATCAACAGGCGACATGTAGTTAATATGAGCATCATAATCTTATTGTCTCGAGTGACATGGCCTCAATTCCAACTGCCAACATCTCATTTGCGTCAACCTCCAGTTAAGGAGTTAGCGTTGTCTTGTTCACTTTGTTAATAAAAAGCTTTCATTTCCTGTTTCCACAGTGAAGTTAGTTGCGCTATTGATTCTTGTTCTAATAGTAATAGTGCAGTAAGAGTGAATTGTAATCTCATCCTAAATGCATTTAGTGTTGAGTACATCAGAGTTGCAACCGTGTGTTTTGATTGCTGCAATGCTGTAAATCTGCACCACTTCTTCGTAACGAGAATTTAGTTGACTCCATCACGCTTCATATTTTTAGTCTACTATTTATTTTAGATATCATCACTATTATATGAGATGATCATGCTTGCTTGATTGAAAAAATTATAAATATTTTCGGTCGCCAGTTTAGTGCCTCCTTTTAAATATCTCACATTCTTTAAAGGTTGCAGGTATATTATCTTGTTGCTTTACCAGTGCATCAGTAATACTGATTCAGTACGCCACATACCATTGACAGCTATCACTTCAATGCTATAGCCGATCACTTGACAGCTTATTATTTTATTGTCGAAAATATTTGGGCGAAACATTTGTGTCACTACCAAAAATAGGGAAAGTTTGCGTACAATTTATTAAAATATGTGTAAAAAAGTAAAATATGTGGGTGTGTTCCCTCGAGAGTGACTAATTACTGTCAACTCTCACTTTGACATTTGAGTTTTAAGACAGCTATGTAGTATTCCCAGGGAAAATCAGGAGCGGATTTCCTGTGATTGACAGAAATATAATTATGGTTTTTTGATGTGTCTTCTTCACATATTTTGAAGGAAACGGTTACATTGTCAAACCATGAACTTGTTTAACTTTGTGACAATAATTTAAGACCTGGTTATAGCTCGCACTTCATCTTACCAAGCATTACCATCACCTGTATTATAAATATTTGCTGCTGTTTAACGTAAAACAAACCAACTCCTCAAAATAGCCGGTAACTCTGGCCTCTTGACAGTTAACCTCGTTTCATTAATTTTATGGGCAGACAATTATACTTACAAAGCCGTTTGACGTAACCAATCAAACTGAAATTACTAAAAAAGAAGTGACTGCAGCAAGCGATTGATTTTCCTGACTATATGAATCTTTGTCACATCCCGACAATATCAGAGGTGTTCAGGTGAGCCGGCCATATTAATACACGGGGATAACTCGAGGAGAGGTTCTGCGTGCTAAATATTAAATGTTGTTTGTGCATGATCAAATATAATGAAATGAAATCTTGTCAAGCCATCTAACTGGGATAGCGCCTAAGTATGTTGAGGATTTCAGTTAATGAATTGCTGTGCAGTGTGCGTACGGTCGGAATACTTTACTTTTTTTCCGTTCACCTCACTTATTAGTTGTTGTAGTGCTTGATATTCTGTTTTAACTTTATGACTATTTTGTTATTCTTGTTTCAGTATTTGTTTTTGGGATTTTAGTTCTTAAATAGATATTGATATTGCATTTATAACCTGGGAAGCGTGGCTGCTGACGTTGAAGGCAGATTGCCAAATTTACCGTATTAAACCGTATTTATGTCACTCTCTGGGAGTATTTTGGGGAGTTTACTTGTTGATCTTCCTGGACAATACATGTATTTGACGCGGGAACGTCATCCATAGAGATCCATAATCATTGCGGAAGTCAAATACTCACCAATGATACCTTTTAAAGTGGTGAGATTGGGGGTGAGGGGGTGAGGGGGATTGCAGGAACAGGGTGGGTGGTATAATAGAGATTAGTAGTTATAGTGTTCCCACGATTAGGCCAGACTCCAGAGAACGACATTACTGGTTGGTTATAACTTGCAGACTGTCAGTGCAAGAAACCACCCAATTTATAATGCGTTATTCCTCATCGTTTAACTAGCCTTTTATGCACGTGCAAAATTGTCACGTGCAAATCTGTCTCCACAATTCTCTTCTAGTTGGCCCTACCTTAACCTTCTAACACCTCAGTGCGACTATAGCAATGTCACATTACGAATGGAAACTGGACTCCCCCGACACTGGAATGGGAATTAACATTGCTCTGGGCATCATGTCCTTGGCAGCCCTCATTGCCATTGCTGGCAACCTCCTCATCATCATCCTATTCTTGAAAATCAAGAGAATCGCTCGGCTCACTCCTCACATGTAAGTTACACCTGACTTGTTTTATGTTTGTGTAAGGTGATCATATTTGATTTTTCCCCACCCTCACGGCAAAATGATATTTAGAGATAGCAAAAGAATTGTCGATCAAATGGTTAAGGATTTGATTCGAATCCTCACTTTGCCTAACTGTTCAAGACTACCTTCCCATTTACCACCCACGATTGACGTATTCCAATTTTCAAGGGTTGCTCAAGGATTTTGACAGTTATAAGTCTGTGCAGTGTACCCACATACTCCCATACATAATCACCCTGTATTTGATAAACACCCCACCAACCATTACACTTCCCCAGATTCCTGACCAACCTGGCGCTCTGTGATCTAATCCTCGGACTGAAGCTGCCCGTCTTCTTCCTGGTGACACTGGGGCACAAGAATGCCTGGATCTTCTCCGATCCCACTGCTTGTTTGATAAGCGGAGTTGCTGATTCCTTCGCGTTCAGGATCGTAGTTGCTGGTCAGTCGTTAGCTTGTTGTAGTTATAACTAGCTGTCTAGTCTCAATATTAGAGTTAACCTTTAGTAGTGGAACAGCAATACTAAGGTAATGGGACTTAAATGGTAAGAAGATGACGATCAGACCTCATTATTAGAGTTAACCACTCCAAATTATGTCAACATTTTGTCAGTTGTCGTAGCTTTAACTAGATAACGAGGCTTTAAATTCAATATTCTAATCACATTCTGGGTTTGCTGGGAAAGGGGTTTACTGCAGAAATTCCTCGTGAGGATGGATTTTAAATTAATGAAATTGCAAATATTGATTAAGAAAGCAGCCCTGTCTGTACGATCATATCGTGCTGTAAATTCAAGTAAAGCCCCATAATCGTTACAGACATGATTAGTTACCCTAGAGAATTGTACTATTATGCCATTATTATAATGAGCCCTATGTCTCAACCACCATTTTATTTCTTGTAATAAAGGAACAGTAAGCAATTTATTAGGTGGGCCCCCAAACAGCAGTCTCGATCCACATATTAATTAAGATGTCGACTTGTTCAGGGAAATGTCTTGTGATTTTATAATTAATATCTGTAACGAAGGCCCATACTCAGAAGCTTTTAAACTTCCTCGCAATCCAATGTTCCCCCTAAAAATGTTCTTATGCCCTAAAAAAAGAAAAAATGTAATTTCTTCTAGTAATTTCCTTTTCAAAACGTCCTAAAACCCACCGTATATCAAATAACCCTTGTAACCTTTCCTTACAGCCTCTCATTTCCTTCTTCTAACCCTTTCCTCACCCAGGCATGATAGCAGTTGCAGTTGACAGATATTTAGCTGTAATACATGCAGTGAGGTACCCAGCTATAATGCCAGAAAAGAGGGCCTTCATTGTGGTGTACTTAATCTGGCTCTACTGCCTTTTTTGGAGTTTGGTGAGTCAGACATTTGGTGACACTTTTAATTTAATCGAACTTTTTAATACAGCAGACTGGTCGTTTGAGTAAATTTTAAATGCAGTAAAATATGCTACTGAATCTCCGCCCTATTTAATCAAGTTAAACTGTACTTACATTTGTTTTCTGACAGGGTTGTTTAAACTTACTTTTTCAGCTGCCAGTAGCCGTGGGTGCACTGACCGGCGATAAAGCTGTGTACACATTTGATGACAGCCATAATCTCTGTATTTTCTCCGGGGGTGAAAAGCTGCCTCGACCTATTTATAGGGTGAGTTCTCAACACTTTTATCCGTTAATTTTCTTTTCGTGGTATGGAAAAATTACCTTGTATTGGTAATAATGACATATCTTGAATCTGAAATATACACAATTTACTACATACTTTTTAGAGCTTCCAATTATAATAACATTCTATCTATTGTAATTACCGTTAGTTTCACTTGTTATAATTAAATATATTTCAGACTTACTTGGTGTTAGATCTACTTCTGAATTTCGTGGCACCACTCACTGTCATGACAGTTTGCTACTTAAGAATAGCTCTGAAAGTTCTCGAACCAAAACAGTAAGTTATCATCCTCCTAAATTTAACTTGTATGGCTTGATTGGGATAATGGTCTCCGGATCCACATTTGTTCTTATAAAAAACATACATAATAATATGTGGGGCTGTTTTCTGACAAAAGTTTAAAGACCACTCAAAAATCCGAGGCTTATAAACACTTTTTTGACAAATTTTTGCATTTGAGGTGTTTCAAAAGGGAGTTTCTTGGGGCCGGCGATTGGTTCTGATGGTTTCTGATGGTTTTCAGGGATAGTTCTTGGCCCAAAGAAGCAAATTTGTCAGAAAACGACAGTGTAAACTTGTCAACTTTTTAACGTTTGGAACGATATATTTGATCCTAAATTTAATGAATCTTTCAGAGTTGGGAACACGTTGAAACGAATCATGAGGCACGCTTCCCTAACAATCAGGAAGAGCAAATCCTTCTCTGATGGCGGAGAAGTTATCGGAAATAGTACCGCAAAAGACGTAAGTTGAATCAATCAGTGAATAACAGTGAGATAACAAGCCTTGAGGTTTAAATCAGTTACATTTAACTCATCTCAAACACTTCACAGATACATAACCTTAATCATATTTATCAAACATATCCTCAGTTTCATTATATTTACACATGATCTCTCCTCAGAGTGGTATAGGCATAATGGTAGAAGGGTGCGAGTCAATGGACGACTACAGTGAAGGAACAGAGGACTTCATAGAGCTCCCAGCCATAACTAAACCGTCAGTCTCAGACATAACTGACATTTCAGACATTCCCCCAAACAGTCCCAAATGCTCCAGGTCCAGCAGTCCCCTTCACAATAAACACAACCCGCTGAGGTCGAGCAGCAAGGTGCGCTCTCAGTCCGGACCCACTTCTACTGCAGTAACACCCCGCGGGAGAGGCTGCTCAGATAGTCCACTCAACACTTCCCCGTACGTTATCTTTATTAACATTTGTTACTGTTAGACATTCTAAACCTTGGTGCTCTAACATGAAATATCATCTATGAAATTAAATATTTTTAAACAATCATTCCGAATTTTCATCCCCATTCAAAACAATAACTGAAGTTTTAATTCAAAACATTAACTGAAGTTTTAATTCAAAACAATAACTGAAGTTTTAATGACAATGTTTCTCCAGGAGATCGCAACCAGCAACCCCGACTCAAAGAGTATTACCGTATCCAGGGAGGCGACACAGCCGGGCAGCAGCATCCCATTACACTCCCTCTCCTGTTTCAGCAAGGTCCGCCTGTTCCACCCCAACTCACAAGCTTTATCACAGCAAGTACCAGACATCTGGTGCTGATCTTAGGTCTGGCATGCCCAAATCTTCCTCTCTCAGCCTCACTCAGACTGCTTCTCCTACTCGACACGCTCCGAAGAGATTCTCCTTAATACCTCAAACTTCAAGGTCAGTTGTAAAATGTTTACTGAAGTCACCTTGTTTAGATGATCCAAATTATATTTTACCTTTACTGTGTGCTTCGAAATTTTTCTTCAGAAACCTCCATTTTGATAGTTCTACATAGGAATGTCAAGAACGTCGAAATATTCATAATTTTGTCTCCCTAATTTTGGCTACAATTTTAAAGTATTCTCAATGCTGCGGTTCAGTCTTCGAGTATTTCTGACTCTAGTTAAACTGTACTGTCAAAATTAGAAGGATTTATATGATTTAACATCGAGATTCGAGTAGAAACTGTTGAAATTTGAAATGGTGATAGGATTTAGTGATTAGCAAATGTTAATTAGTGCACTCTAACCTGTCGCTTGCATATTTAGCTCTCAGCTCTCCGATAGAGCACTGTCAGTCGACAAAATAGATTATATATAATTACATATTACATATATAATATTTATCTGATATCGGACCCTAATTATATCTCTTATATTCGCCCATCTTAGCTACGAACTTGTGTGATGATTACAGTTATAGATAAAACTACCTGCCATATTATTATTATATTATCAAAGTATTTATAGAGCTCAACCCGTCTGAGATAAACCGGACAATCGCCTAATTTAGGTACATAGAATGGGCTTTCTTGAGGAAGTTAGAAACCGCACGATCGCGGACAATGTTTTATTTTGTGAGCAAACAAACGGTTTTGCAAATCAATGAGCATTCAAACTCCAAGAAATTATCGCATGTTTTAGATAAGCCTCCAACGGCTTCTAATTTCCTTGAGAAATAGCATTCTCACCTGACTCCTGTAAATTTCCTTATTTAAGCAAGTAACCGGAATTAATAACGATAATAACATTAATAAAGATAATAACGATATATTTCTTTCAGATTCGGTTCTGTAGATAACCACTCCATGCACTCCTCTAACCGCAAGATGTCTATTGGTGTTCTGACAAATTCAGTCATGTCCCAGCTAAGACGAATATCCCACGCTTCAACCGCGTTCAGCAAAATGAGCAAGTAAGTTATTTCTTGTACTGTGCTTAATTCTCATTTTTGCTCATGTTAGAAGGCTCTCTTTGGAGAAGAATATTGTTCATTTGAAGGCATAATTAAAGTCTGAACCTTCGGTATGAATGCTTTTGCTTTAGATTTGCGAATCACTAATATATTTGTTTTGGATTGTAAAATCCCAGAATTCCCAGCTAACTAATGAATCGTTCAGGTATCAGCAAAAGATAGCAAGAACCACACTAATCGTATACCTCTCCTTTTTCTGCTGTTTTATCCCTTATATTTCAAGCCAGGTACGTTTAATTGCAATCAACTTTAATATAATTATAGATTAGTAAATCCTTTTAAATATTTTGTTCCAATGACAATGCCATATCTCTGCATCTGTCTCAAGTGTGAATTTTGAAACACCTAATTTATTCTATCTCTGAGATTCAGTATAATGACAGTCAACCTTTCAGTTGGTGTTAATAATCTACAGCTACATTGGAGACGACCGCATGTCTTTTAGAACACACACTTTTGTTTTTGTTAGTGTATGTTTTGTTTACTTCAATGCATGTATTAATGTTATTATTTACGGAACCATGCATAGAAACATTCAGAAAACTCTAAAAGGTATATTTGGTCATAGTTGATTTAATTTGTGATATTTTTTATTGATTTTGATCAGATATTTTATTTTTATTGAGGATGATTCAATTTGAAATGAAATACAGCATTTTTTATCTTGTGTTTATGAACAATCCAAATGTAAATAAAGATTGCCGATGTCAAAGAGGCTGGCCTGTAAATATGCTTCAAAAACTACATACTCAATTAATGAATCTAAAATCAGTACTTTATTTGACATTAAAAACTAGTAGATTACACTGTAAACACTTATGTTGTCCTCTCTGGCAATCTGTTTCATCTCCAAGACCAACTGTTGATGGACAGCTCAATCCTAGGGTGATCTGTCTGGAGAAATGAAAACAGTTTTATGACGTTGAACTTTTATCGGTCTTGTCTGATCGTCTGATTTTCGGACAACTCCAAGACGTGGATTTTCATCAATCTGCATTCTGCAGAAACATCTCGCCAACTTCATCGCACAAATTCCTTTCGCTAGTTTCTTTTCGTTTATATAGACCATAGTACCAGTTAAAACTTGAAAGTCATTAAGAGTAGCATCAGAAGTCGACGCGGGTAAAATGTGGTAAAATGAGATTCACCACTACCACTTACAGAGTCCCATGTAACTATCTACCTCGTCTGGCCTAATCAGTCTGCAAAAAAGCACAGCATATAACTATAAGGATGGAATTGTCGAGCTTTTGCGCTTTTTCCATGTGTTATCTCGGAACCAGCTGATACCAGAACCACTACTACCGTCTACCACTGGCACTACCAATAACTGTTTTATTCGATCTTTTCATTTATGATTAAAGCACGTCCTTCATGCACTCCTACTAAATCGTTCGCCCAAATTTTAAGAAAATTCTTGTGAAAAGGCCCTTTGGGAATGAAAGTGTTCTAGATCGGTGTATTTTTGGACGCTGATTCCGAATCATCCCCCATGACGACATGACGTAGGGTTAAAATGTTTCCTGGAGAGTTATGGGCAAAAAACCGTTTTGGTCACGTGACAGCCTACTCCTAGTAAAATACGAATTCGATTGTTTAGGGCCCGGGTTAGGGTTAGGGTTGTGGTAAGGGTTATGGTTAGCTTCGGGGTTATGGTTAGGGTTAGGGTTGGGATTAGGGTTTATGTAAAACCGTTTTGTACGGCTGCAAAACCATAAAAACCAAAGTCACGTGAAATTTTTGGGCGAGCGAATTAAGAGCCTCCTTCATGTTATGGAGCCAGGGCGTACGGACTGGCTACGCCTAGATAAACTTAAAGCACTCCAATCCCATTACATACTACTGCAATATACAACAAATTTACAATAAATTACATAAAATGCATAACATTATAATCAACAAAATATGTATTATACAGATTACAACAAATACAATTCATTATTAATATTAGTGTGGCCCAGTAATCAGCTTTTTAACTGTAAGGCCCAAACTTGCAGCATCTTCCCATGTGGTAAGTCTCCAGACTAAATGTGACGACACAATATTTAGTTGAACACGTGTTCCTGAGTATCTGCTTTCCCGGGCAAGTTAAATGATTATATAAATTGGATGTGGTTTAACAGTAAAACTTCGAGGGTGGTACTGGTGGTTGCTCAATTCCTACTTCTCACGGAGAGGAATAAAATAACGGTGAATCAAGCCTCAGGAGTATCCAAACCAGCCTAGCCGGCTGGCCGGCCGACGGATCAAGTCTGCTGAAGTTCGGGAAGTATTCACAATGTAACCCGGCCAGCCAGCGTCAAACGTGTACCAACGTCAAACGTGTATCAACGTCAAAGTTCAAACGTGTATCAATTCCGCGGACTACTAATGGCAATGCTATAATAATTACTATTCATGCCGAATATACCAGTACCACTACTGTGGCGAAAACCACGATACGGCCGCCCACCCACAACGTGAGTAGTGAGGCAACTTTGAAAGCAAGCTGCTCATTTTTGATCTTGTATTCCAAAGGGGAGGTTTGCTTTCCGAGATCGCATCGAAATTAAAGGAAGCCTCCATTCCAAAATCGTACCTTGAGGAGTTGGCGAAACATTTTTACCTGTGACCAGGGGACCCCAGTTTTAGTGGTCATAAACACATTGTTAATTGTAGATTTATAGCTTAGGGGTCGTTCACATATTATGTGATCAATTTTGGACAATGTTAACCCCCAATGTTTACCTAGCAAGCTAGGTAAGTATTACTATTAACTGTTTTTAAACAAAAAAGTGACGCTTAGATCAACTTCAATTGCAAATTAATAAATTTTTTAACGCTGATTCCAAATCACTTCACATAACAATGCCATGAATAGGGTTAAAATGCTCATCTGGCGAAAAACTGTTTCAATTGTAAATTGTGACATGACCATTTATAATTCAAAAACGGTGCCAGTTGGTCTGATTTCTCGTTAGGGAAAGGTCTAGGTTTTGGGTTTTAATTTTAGCGAATGGTTTAGCCGGGAGTAAAGGTTGCTTCATGACGTTTGGGGTCAAAGTTGCTCTAACCAGAGCTTACCTGGGGATCACCCCAGGCTATTATATTTATCATTATGTTCATAAATAGAGACTTTTTATTAACTACTTTACTCTATCCAGAGCCCTTGCGCTTGCAGTGGCGCGCGCCTGCCTCCTGGGCGAAAGCACATGGTTAGGTGAATTAACTATTTCATATTTACTAACTTACTATTATAGCCGGATTTTCTTGTCATACGTTGTATGACCCACCGCGCACGAGTGCGCGGCTCCCCCTGTATATGAAACGACCGTGGGGGTCACAACGTGATACAAGGCATTCCGCCGATTACTGGGCCGCGCTCAGCCTGTCATTCCGCCAAATGAACATAATAGCCTGGGGTCCTCAGGTAATCCGCCGAATCTTTATATGTTTGTGAACATAATAGCCTGGTCCAACTCGGCGCACGTCTTTGGTCTTGGTAGGTTATAAATCTACAACATATGCTTTTGCATTTTGTTAGGGATTGGGTTAGGGTTAGAATCAGATTAGAGGGTTAGTGGTTAGGGTTTCGAATAATTGTTCAGGGCTAGCTAGAGAACGGATTGAAAAAGTCACGTGACAGTCGAGTGTAGAGTGATTAATTATCATCCGGATATTCGATAAATTTCTAAATTTTATCACAATCAGAGTAATATTGAATATAAAGTTGAGTGGAATTTGAATTAAAGTATTTTCAAATTGTTATTATTCTGGACTAGAGTGTAGAGGGTAAAAAAGAAAATGTTGATTACGTAATCAACGACCAACCCCCCCCCCCCCCCCCCCCCCCCCCCCCCCCTCGTAATATAATCAACCGTAAGCATTTGTGATTTGGAAACCCCCCTCTACTCGGCTGATAACGTTATACGTAATATATGTCATATGAACAACCCGGCTCTTACTAATTCGCTTGCCCAAAAATTTCACGTGACTTTGGTTTTTATGGTTTTACAGCAGTACAAAACGGTTTTACATAAACCCTAATCCCAACCCTAACCCTAACCATAACCCCGAAGCTAACCATAACCCTTACCACAACCCTAACCCTATGCCCTAACCCGAGCCCTAAACAATCGAATTCATGTTTTACTAGCCTGTCACGTGACCAAAACGGTTTTTTGCCCATAACTCTCCAGGAAAGCATTTTTACCCTATACTACGTCATGGGAGATGATTCGGAATCAGCGTCCAAAAATACACCGATTAAGATCAATTTCATACCCAAAGGGCCTTTTCACAAGAATTTTCTTAAAATTTGGGCGAGCGATTTAGTAGAAGCGGAACAACCCCCTTCGAAGAAATTTAGACGAGTATTTACAATTTATATATGGAGTGTCATCCGTCGATAGTTGATAGTATAGCGCGCGCCCGCCAAAGGCACATGGTTAGCTTTAGGTGAGGAGCCAGAGTATATGCTTCCGGTCTGCTTTGACATACGTTGCATGCCACTTTTCGCGCGCGCCGCCGAAGGCTTGTGAGTTAAGTTGTAAGTAGTGAGCTAATTAGTGATTCACTCCCGTCGCGAGAACAAAGTGCCAGAAAATGAGACTATTTTTCGCGTGAACTTGAAAATTTACTGACGCCGCGCAAAGGGGCTTTCACTAAATCGCTTACCTGAGGACCCCAGGCTATTATGTTCATTAACATAAATAGCCGAATAAAGATTTGGCGGAATGAAGATTTGGCGGAATGACAGGCTGAGCGCGGCCCAGTAATAAATCGCTCGCCCAAAAATTTCACGTGACTTTGGTTTTTTTGGTTTTGCAGCTGTACAAAACGGTTTTACATAAACCCTAATCCCGACCCTAACCCTAACCATAACCCCGAAGCTATCCATAATCTTAACCATGAACCACAACCCTAACCCTAACCCTAAATAATCGAATTCACGTTTTACTAGCCTGTCACGTGACCAAAACGGTTTTTTGCCCATAACTCTCCAGGGAAGCATTTTAACCCTACGTCATAGGGGGTGATTCGGAATCAGCGTCCAATAATACACCGATCCAGATCACTTTTAACGGGTGATACTCGTAAAATATCTGTTCCATATATTGGACCGTCGACGAGTCCAACTCGGCGCGCGTCCTGGTAGGTTGTAAACCTACAAGATCACTTTCATGCCTAAAGGGCCTTTTCACAAGAATTTTCTTAAAATTTGGGCGAGCGATTTAGTAGGAGCGGCGCAGGGCTGCTCCTTCCTGGTGTATCCATAATATCTCTGATATTTGTGATACGTAACATGTATCAATAGTAGAGGCTCTTACGGGCATTGTCTGCTCGATACGCTAGGGACCCCAGATACACCTTACTATACGTATTTTTGACCGTAGAATCGATTAAAAGTGGTTTTAAGATGATTGGACTGACTTTTTGGGGGTAAAATCGCAAAAAACCGATTTTTGGGCAAAAAATAGGCCAAAAAACCATGTTTTTTGATATTTTGAACAAGTTAATTTTGTTGGTATGTCGGCAAAACTTGCATGGAGATAGCTAAAACACAGCCGCACAAGATGGTTTAAAAATTTGAAAAATCCCTCTATTTTTTTGGGGGTAAAAATCCAAAAAAGTGGTAAAAATTTTGACTTTTTTGCTTGAAGTTTGAATAATTTTTTGCAGTTGTATTAAATCAACCCAAAAATAGTTACATCGTGTTTGCCTAAATTTTTCCTTTCCGAGAAGTACCCACTTCATATACTTTATCGAAGTTTGAATATTGTCAGTCCGCAAGCGTTTTTGCCAAATTTTCGACGCGCACTACGCGCAAAAGCATTTAGTTGTTATCAATTGGCATCCGCGCGTTCATCATAAATTTCAAACAGCTATAACTCAGCGAGATTATGTCCGTTCTAGCTCATATTTTCACACCAAATAGAAAACAATGTAATCTTATTGCTGACAAAATATGAATATAATTACTTTATTTGTCTTAGAGTAATAGACTGTCAAAGTTTAAAACGCGCATTGGTATAGCACGTGACTAATAAGGCCAAATTTATACTTCTTAACATATTATCGATTCTTAGACATCATACTATTGTGTCCAATTAGCGGTTAGGTCTCTAAACTCGTTGCAGAAAACACGTCTTTTTGCCCGTAAGAGCCTCTACTACAAGGTCTGCTACACTTTTGCCTTCTTTTGTGTATGGTGTAGACGGAAAAAGGAACACTTTTTAAATTACAGACACCCCTCTCTTAACGGGTGATACTCGTTAAATATTTATTTCACAAGTCCAACTCGGCGCGCGTCCTGGTAGGTTATAAACCTACAACCCCTCCTATCCCCCAATTATCGGTTTTTATGAACACTGAAGCCAGGAATCTCTCGTCGCGTCAACATGGTCAACTCGTGTTTAACAAACCAACGACGTTCAGTCAGGATTAAGGTTAAGTCAGAGTAGAAGTAGAACTTAATTGACGATGTCAATTCATGGCAGCTCGGCGCGGCACAGTAGCGCATCTCGCCGATCTAGCCAGGTCGCACAGTAACGCATCGCGCTACAAAAGTAGAACTAGAATGATTCTTACCTGGTATGGGGACCCCAGGCTATTTGAGTATTATATTGATGTTCATAATCATATCCGAATAGAGATTAGGCGGAATGACAGTAAGAATGATAAAGGTTTTTTGAACTGTCCATCTATAGGATTTTAAACGTAATCCCGTGATTTGCCAGTAAGTGATAACGTGATATTATAATTAAGTGAACGACCCCTTATCTCAACTATTTTTCAGATATGGGGCCACTGGCACTATATTACTAGGAGTAGGGGTGTGCAGTGTCGGACGATGCATCGCTTGTAGTTAGGTATGAAAAGGTGAGCTGTTTGTACCTAACTTGAACTATAAAAACGAAATTAAATTAACGTTTATTAAACTTGACAGATTGGGCCAAATCTAATATAATATCGTTCCTATCGAATACAGGGGAGGGATCAGAGTGGATTTGTACTCATTATTAGAGATATTAAAGCGTCGATGTTTTATTGGAGGCTGTTCAGTGTCCGAAGTAATATCAACCAGCCGGGTCCCCAAAGTTTCGTTTGACAAGTTCACTTTTTTCAATTTGTAAACGGCAAGGATCTGAGACTGCTTCCATTTCTCCAGAGTCTCGGTCTCACACAGGCGCATCAACCCAGAGTTTCTGACTTTTTGGAAGCGAGTCTGCACTCTGCGTGAAAAATGTAGCCAGACGTAGAATTCATGCAGGTGTTCAAAATGTTGGTTATTGCGTAAATAAGACAGAGGGAAACTGCTCTTTTCTCTACCTGCAAAGAGCAGTTCCCCTTCGTCCTATTTACGGAATCATTTTTCTCAGTAAATTGTGGAGCTGTAAGATTTAGAACTAAGAATATTTAGACCATTACAGTCTTCATGATCGTTGGATTCGGGCCAAGACTAAATTTATGTGAAAATGCTATAAATGTCTTTGTCCAAAAACCAATGTAGTTGGTTCAGATTTTATATGGCTCGTTTTGAATCTTCAGGAATTTTATGTTTAAGATGCAATGATAGCTCATGGAGTGCCGTAACTGATCCAGTTTTAAAGTTTCCGACTAACTTTTAACCAGTAATTCCTACACATCCAAGGAAGAAATTTACTCGGTGAAAGTTTGAAGAAGATGGTGAACATTGGAGATTTTGCGGGCATAATTGATTTATCTTCAATGATAAACATGACGAGTTTAAATGATCCTGTAATATTGCAGCAGGTACTGATATTATGATCTCAACTATCATCGTCCATTGATAGCAAATAATACTTAATTCTTTAACTAAAATTACAGAAAAATAACACAATTTGTGTAAAACAAATATGAAATATTCCACATTCTATAAATAAAAATAAACGAGAAGTCTAACGAAAACACGTCTCAGACCCGGGGTAACAAATAAATTACTAAAAATTAGCAGGGGAAGTGGGTGAAGGTGCTAGGTGACAGCACCGGGTGCGAGATGGCATGACACCTGGTGCTGATTGGGGATCAGTATCAGAAACACCGAGTCTGAGGACGGTGTTCCGAGAGTTTGTGTTCAGTGTTCAACAAGAGACACAACCAACGAGAGAGGCCAGAGGCGTTATGATAGTGAGGGGAACTCTGTTTCTGAGAAACTTTCCAGGTTGGGTGCTTTGGGAGCAGCCTGAGCCCGGTTATCACGACGATCACCGCGGTCTTCACGGCGATCACCTCGGTCTTCACGGCGATCTCTGCCACCTCTGCTTCCACCTCGTTCCTCTGATGAGATACAGAGTAAGATCATTAGATATCAGGAGGAGAAAATATAATAGTAATAGTTAATAGTACTATGTTTACAGTATGCACTGAAGAGGTATCCTAGGAAGTTTCTTGAACCTTTAACAGGTACCCCTCCTCATTTAACCCTCAATCAAGTCATTCGGCTGAGTCGACCGAGGAGATCGCATAATAATAATTAATACTTTTATTTTCTTGCTCAAAATTCAATAATATATACAAGTAAATGAGGTGACTCGTATGAAGTATCTTACCTCTGCCTCTTCCACCACGTCTGGATGGGTTGGAGAACTTGACATCCACATCGACTAGGTTCTTCTTTCTTCCTCCACGGACTATGATTTTCTCATACTCGTCCTGAAAAACATTTTACATTTAAGACAAGAAGTTTCACAGTTCATATAAAACGGCTGAAATCAGGAATTAAATGGCCTTATGTGGGACTTTTTCAGTTGATAAGGTCAGAAGTTTGAAAGTGAAGTCATCCGAGCAAGATCTGAAATAATGAAGGCACCAGCAGCACTGAATTGCAACATGCAAAAAACAGAAGAGATGCCCACATCCAGAAACACGCGACGGCAGTCTGACTAAGAGAAAATTATGGATTTGAGAGGAAATTGGGTGCCAAGAAGGAGATCGTAAGAAAACCTGACCCTTTCTTTAGGGCATAAGAAAATATTTAGAGGGATGTTTAAATAAGCAAAGATTACGCACCATTCCACCCATATAGGCATTTTGGTCTTCCTTTTTGAGTGGAGCGAAGTTCTTCCATTGACCACCGTCTTCATTTTCACCAGGCTGTGGAGTTATCCGAGTTAAAGAGGAGGAACAATTAAAATACCAGACTTAGCTTAGTTGAGTTAAGATGTCAATATTAAGAACACGAGAGTAGAGACTCGGCTGCTAGTAGACTGACTTATATCTCATTTTATCACGATGAGTTGGAAGTATTCGTACTAAGATAGTTACCTTTCGGACATTGAAGACAGTTTCTTTCTTTTCGTTATTACATTTCTCCAGATATTCCTCGTAAGTCATTTGGTCGGGTTCTTCTTCCTTAGGAGGTCCCGCATCAGCGCTGTAATGACAAGAAATTAATCAAATAATGCTGTTACTCACAAACGGCTTAATTTCAAACCTTCTTACATTGAGAATAAGTAATACGTTCTTACCTACCTATTCTTAACATTAAGTATGGGTTGTCTTAGGTTAGTAACTGTCTGTTAAGACAAAGAGGTTACGTAATCGTAAATCCTCATAACTTTGGACAAGGATAGCATGGACTGTGAACAAATCAATGCCGCGCGGCTCACTTTTTTCATAAATTGTGCGCCTATGGGGATGGTTGGTTCAAGTGAAACTGCATCGCGCCACGGCCCGCTTAACAATTTACACGCGGGTCTAGAAATCAGGTGTGTATACAACGGCACAAATCCATAAGTACACAGCCATTGTCCTTATCAATGTGACAACTATACAACTTAACTTACTTTTCTCCGGCTCCTTCGACATTATCAAATCCACTGGGCACTTCAGATCCACTTGGCAGGACATTGTCAAATCCGCTTGCTGGAGCAGCATCGGAGCTACTTGGCTGAACGTTGTCAAATCCACTTGGTTCGGTAGAGGCAGCAGGCCTGAAACAGCCATCAAGTTAGATCAGATTAAAAAGGGGCAATCCCAATAGCCAAGAGAGAAAAGTGTTAAATTGTAGCAATAGTGGGTGCCAGAACAAGCATGATTTGGTTTTCTGGGCTTGATTATTGCGAGGATATCAATTTGGCATTAAATAGCACTACTTGCACATAGAGACACAAGTAGTGACTCTGATAATGCATAATGGAGGGGCCACATATTCCACCCCCACCAATTTAAATGGGGTTCCTGGGTTGTGATTGAATTGGGGATCTAGTGGGGTTATAGCTAGGCGAAGTGTGTAGGTTTAAGGCCTAGTTTTTGGGGTAAAAAGCCGTGTCACAGAAAGACTGTAGTATGATATTTTGAATTTGTCGTGTCCTTGGAAAAAGTTCACTTAAAATGGATTCCTACAATTTGCCAAATATACAACAACTTACTGCACGTCTCCCCAACCACCAGCATCAGCAGCAGGGGTCTCAGCAGGAGCTGTCCAACCGTCACCGGCGGCAGCATCAGCACTCCAGTTAGGGGCGGCTGCTTCTTCCACAGGTGTACCCCAGTTGTGTGCACCGCCTCCGTCTCTCTTTTCTGAGGGCTTGCCACTGAAAGAAGGTGTCGTCAGATCATTGTTAGTGTTAATACGAATATTAGGGATAGGGAGAATTAATACAGCTAAATATTCACTAGGTATTAAGTGGGCTCATGTATTCCTTAGTTTTAAACACTTAAAGTTACACATGGCCGTACTACCCAGGCTACTTACAAAGTTATTGGTTATTTTATAGATGTGGTAAACGATCAACCTGAGATCAAAAGTGAAACCAAATTTCCTATCCTAAACAGCACACTTTTTATCGGTGAGCCATGACGTCCAAGTTAATCAGCAACAACCCTGCCAACAGCTGATCCAATTTCTCCTTATCGTGTACAATACACTTCATCTGTACTCTGTAGATTCAGATAAAAATAGCAGTAAATGAAAATAATCTGCCCAGGGCACGACTAAGTATGACGGCACAAGAGCAGCCATGAAATAAGCTATTAGCCCAAATATGGGGCATATTGAAATCTAGTGCTTTTGAGAACATATAACAGAGGATCGTTATAGGGCGACAAAAAGTCACGACGTGACTTTTTGTGACTTAGTCACGTACTTACACTGACTTTGAAAAGGCACATACGATAGAGGTGAGCTTTTGTTTTTACATTGGGCGGAATGTTAAGCAGGGGGGGGGGGGGGGGGGAGCCAAGTGGATGACATTATCCAAATATCTACAAATATCCACTTGGCTCCCCCCCCTAAGCATCTGTTTTAGAGGAATTATAATTGTGTAGAATGATTAAAAAACTGTATCACAACCTGCTCTATAGCAACCTGCTACATGTCAGCCTGCTAAACGGCAACTTGCTGCACAGTAATGCAACCTGCTACATGGCAACTTGCTACACGGCAACCTGCTACATGGCAACTTGCTACATAACAATCTGCTACATGGCAACTTGCTGCACGGCAACCTGCTACATGACAACCTGCTGCATGGCAACTTGCTGCACAGTAATGCAACCTGCTACATGGCAACCTGCTACATAACAATCTGCTACATGGCAACTTGCTGCACGGCAACCTGCTACATGACAACCTGCTGCATGGCAACTTGCTGCACAGTAATGCAACCTGCTACATGACAACCTGCTGCATGGCAACCTGCTAGACTACATGGCAACCTGCTTCATGGCAACTTGCTGCACAGTAATGCAACCTGCTACATGGCAACCTGCTACATAACAATCTGCTACATGGCAACTTGCTGCACGGCAACCTGCTACATGACAACCTGCTGCATGGCAACTTGCTGCACAGTAATGCAACCTGCTACATGACAACCTGCTTCATGGCAACTTGCTGCACAGTAATGCAACCTGCTACATGACAACCTGCTGCATAACAATCTGCTACATGGCAACTTGCTGCACGGCAACCTGCTACATGACAACCTGCTGCATGGCAACCTGCTAGACTACATGGCAACCTGCTTCATGGCAACTTGCTGCACAGTAATGCAACCTGCTACATGACAACCTGCTGCATAACAATCTGCTACATGGCAACTTGCTGCACGGCAACCTGCTACATGACAACCTGCTGCATGGCAACCTGCTAGACTACATGGCAACCTGCTTCATGGCAACTTGCTGCACAGTAATGCAACCTGCTACATGGCAACCTGCTACATGACAACCTGCTGCATGGCAACCTGCTAGACTACATGGCAACCTGCTTCATGGCAACTTGCTGCACAGTAATGCAACCTGCTACATGGCAACCTGCTGGACTACAATACATAGCAACCTGCTACACGTTTTTAGGGAACGTTCATAGTAATGTCCTGTTTCTTTCAAAATGGACAACAAATGAACAATACTGTGTGCACATTGGCCCACACATTTACATTTTACACGATCAATCAACCAATTAGTTGATAACACTGTATTTCTAACACAATTTATCCTCAGTTCGCAACGAACTTCCTTCCAAACAGAACAGCTTAATGACATTAATACATCAGGTCTGACACAGTTTACACACACATACACACACCACATCGGTTATTTAACCAAATGCGGGAGTGGTTGAGGTAGATCAGCAAATTAGGCGGTATAATATCAGTGTTTAATACACGAATTTAGGTAGATAATATCAAAATAGACTTTAGTATCGTATCGTCGATAATAGAATTATGGGTAGCGTATTTATAAATACAATTGTAATTTATTTATAAAATCTATTTATGAAATCTAATTAATTTGACCAAATTTCCAATCAACACTAGCATATTTTAATCAATATTTTGATTGATATTTTGGGTTTATATTTGTTAACTTATCCGTTATCGGATATTAGGACTAGGTACGAATTTGCAGCCACCATTATCGAGAATAAAAAATCAGCATCTCTTCGTATCTTCCAATATCCTTAGTCTTAGACAATAGATTCTCAAATGAATTATTTGATTTCAAACCCCATCAAAAGAAAAATATATCTGATACCATGGCATACTTAAATGTGCTGAAATATATCTGTAATTGCTAATTAGAGGACGGAGAACACGATGTTAGTGTTCATTTTCATCATTACTCATGTTTTAGCTGTTCTTAAGGCTAAAAAACCGCAATGCCGATATATGTTCATTTGACCAAAAATTTAGGAATAAATGGGCAGTCACTTTCCCAAATTTTAAAACGCTGGAAATTTAAATTCAGTGCAAATTGATCTTGTCCCTGGAAAAAGGACAAGGCACTGATTAAATTTAAAATATAACGAGCTAAGCAGTTTTCTCTCATATATTAATAATTTTCCATCCAGTGTCGAAATTTGTGTCCACCTTGGTATTGAGAGGAAATTATGCTAATTTGTTCTTTTACCAAGAAATTATTGGCCGTCGACTTGGTATACATACACCCTAAAACTAATCGAAATATTTTATTTTGTAGTCTCTTCTTTCTTAGCTGAGAAGTGAGAATAGCCGAATATTAGGCCAAAACATATTTTTTCTTCCGTTAATGACTAAAATTACAGAACAAACTTCGAATTGTTATTGGCATACAAATTGTTTCTTAAAGTTACATCCATCTAAATATATTTGAAGCTTATCTAGAAACGTTTAAGGTAATATAATGTCAATGAATGAAAATATAAATTTTTACACTTTTTTACACTACACAGTAAAATGTGTAGTAAAAAAGGTACACTAGATTACACTTTTTTCCTATTATATTCCTATCAGTCTTCACATAGTACATATCCAAAGGCCAAACAGGGGTTTTGCAAACTTTCTTTGGTGAGAAAAAATGTCACTTTTCTACTATATAATTTTTTACACTACACCCCCGAGAAATAAGTCGATAAAACTAATCAGCTTTCCGGATATTCAAGTTAAAGTGATGACTATACTATCGTGGTTATTTACACCCCCCTCATTCCCTAACCCAAAGATCAAATACATGAAGTATGTTAGCATTTCCTTGTCAATTTAGGATTATAGAGACGATTATCATCTTTAAACTAATCGCAGTACATTACATTGGCAATCTAAATCTACAGTTGTTAAGCACATACTGATGTCGAAGTATTTCGAGTATTACTTTTTAGTACAGTAAGAATATATATTGAATATTGATAGCACCGTATGGGTTAATGTATCTATATATCTGGGTCTAAGTATCAATATTGTTGTAAGTCATCAGGGTTGTAAAATACTGAGCAATCTTTTGAATGCAGATTCGCACTTTGCAGTTAACCAAATATTTGGTAATTTGTGTACTATACAGGTTATTAAGTTTAAAAATTAAAAAGCTGGTTAACTTGGTAGAGTACACCCAAATTCTTCAACACTACGGTAAAGAAGATCTAGAAGTATGCAAACAAAGTTGGATTTACGGCAATAATGTAATCTTTTGATTGACTTAGTTGAACTATCGCAAAACTTCCTCTAATTTTCACTTTGGTCAGACCGGGTGGGGTAAAGAATGCTCCAGCGGTCAGTTCTATCACTATCTCTCATGGTTGTGGTGCAAAAAGAGCTCAGATCATTATAGGACTAAATATTGACGTCCATGAAATTCACGAGAATGATGTAGTCAATATATTGACTAAGATTTTGCACACTGCACTTGCACAGAATTTCACGTATTACATTAATCGAAACACTGGTTACTTGTAGCCTGTACAGCACAATGCATACTGAGATCATGCATGCATCATTATATTAATTCGCAAAAAAGAGAATTTATCGTGGGAAATAGAAAAGTGAAAAATCAAAAAAGTAAGCCAATAAAGATAAGGGTCGGGCAAGATTTTAGATAAGGTATCTTTCTTATCAATGAAATCGTAGGAAATATGAAAAGGGTGTTTTCTTTTCAATACCCCTACTATACTCAGTGAGTGAATACTGCATTATCAACTGTTGAATGTTTTTTGAATGACCTTAAAACATTTTATATCCCCCTAGACTTAAATTAATGACTTGGATCTTTCGGTTTACGTACTCTAGTTAGACAAGCACTATAGTTCGACAACTTAAGTTCGCCAGATATCACCCCTGTCGAGCTTCGGTTCGTGTCGAACTAGAGTCCGGTAAACGTACTCTAGTTCGACAAATAGTTTTTGCTTGTGATCCAACGGCTATTGCCGGGTCCTCATCATAGGATCACAAGGTTCAATGGCAGATAAATCAATTTTCTGACATCTAGCAACCAGTGCAGCGGTTAGAAATTCCAGAACCTTTCAGTATAATTTTAATTCTCCTGCCACTTTGTTCTGGTCTAACAGTATCAAACAGGAAAATAGATTGATATCAGACTGTTTCCGGTTCAGCAGCCAAATCTCTAGACCGATACTATGTACTCGGTTACTAGTAATTCTAGTCGTTTGTGATAATATAAAGTGTGGAATGTCATGTGGCAAATATTTATATGGCGTACTCTACAATCTAAATCTATAAAACGGAATAAGAGTTACCACGATAGTCTTTTATCTCTCCACTAAGTCTACAATTCTGCTAACTAACAGTTGAGTTTGAGGACAATTAAATGTCCATAGATATGGATTATAGAGATTACATTCACACATAGCTGAACATCATGAGACAAGTGGAAAACAAGCAAACGAATAGACTTCAAGCTCGTATAGGATCGTCGCTTGAGATCGGAGATTCCAAAACTCTAGTTCGACAGTCGAAGTTCTTTAGACGAATTTTAGTACGTGTCGAACTTGAGTCCAGGTAGCGCACTTTAGTTCGACAGAGTCGAACCTTAGCTTAGCTTGGGGTTTGTCGAACTATAGTACGTGTCGAACTAGAGTACGTATACCGGATCTTTCTTGGGTATGTTTTCAATGTCGGGTCGTGTAATAAATGTTAGAATCTATTTTATTCATATGAGCCTATAATCTAAAAACATTATTTAAATAAGCCCAACCCACCTTCTTCCATCGGCAGAGTGTCTGTCATATTGTCTGCCGCTTCCACGGTAACCGCCACGGCCGCGACCACGGTTGTTGCCGCGTCCTCGGTATCCACCACGAGGCCGGTCTCCGTCCTCTGGTTTTGAGTCACCTCCATCGTCCTGGGATAACAGATATTTTTATATTAATGGTATATAGTCTGCGGTCCAAGGGCAGGGGGCAACCCCATCAGTGCCCAGGCCATCAGAGTAAGTAGGCGAAATGGGCATTATTTTCGGTCAAAATAAAAATATTTCTGCTACCATACTCTTATTGAACTGGAATATAGCTAAACTTGGTAATAGAGATATTATATTGACTTTAAACAGCTTACAAATTTGATCCACCTCCACTGTCCTGTCAGAAGGCTGGATGTAATTGTAGAACAAAATATTAGAATAAGTCCTATAAATATTTCTACCATAAGCTATTAAAAGTTAGCAATAATGAATACCAAAAGTATTTTCATGTACAAACCTGCATTCTAGGGGGTCTGCTATCGTCATTGTCTCGGTTATATCGTCTGCGGTTGTCAGCGCTGCCGTCACGTTCTCCCCCGCGACCACGACTGTTACCACGTCCACCTCGGCCTCTACCACGACCTCTCGTGTTCTCTTTTGCAGCTTCTTCCTCTGCAAATGAGTTGGTGAGAAAATGTAAAATATTCAAGGGCACGAAATTGTGATATCACAAAAGAGTGTGCAGACAAGGACGACGTGAGATAGTAGAATGAAATATTCGACAATAAATATATGTATCTAGGTATCAGGGTTCATAATTAATTGGGGACAAGAGAGGTTTAAGAGAGTTCAAATACGAATGAGGATATTCTGAATGTTAAAGTTGGGACATAAGCTGGGGATTCGAGAAGGCTAGAACAAGTTGCAAGAGGATTTTTAAACAAGTGCTTTATTCGGACGATACATATAATCGTCCCAGCATTATTAATAAAAAATTCTACAACAAATTCTAATAGCACTCCAAATTTAAGGCGAAACTTTTCGATGCATTTTGGACGGTAGGAAAACTTAGTTCAAAAAACACTAGGCACTGAGTACAAACCTTTCTTCTCAGGTTTTTTCTCTTCTTCTTTCTTTTTCTCGGGCTTTTTCTCCTTCTTTTTCTTGCTTTCTGCCTTCTTGGCGGCGTTCGACTGTTCTATAAGATTATAGAACTCGGCCGGATCTTCGATATCGTCACCGATATCTACCATAGCAAAGCGGTTGCCAGTGGCAATACCGTAGGATGGGGCCTCTCCCATTGTTGTGTCTCTTGCGATAGTCATGTTACGAACTAATACTGAACTGAAGTCGGCGATTTAACTGCACATAATTTTGATCAATACAAAGCAAATTGTGACTTGAGATGAATACAGCTACACAACGGTCCAAAGTAACGCCTCTTTCACAGACCACTCTACATATTGCCGTAAAGTCTTACCGCCATTGGAAATGGCTTGGGAGAATTCAGCCAAAATTTCACAGGCGAGTCCCACATTGCTATCAAAATCGTGGATTGACCCTAGCACAAACATGATCAATATCTCTATACACTTAAGGGAACTTTCGTTAGTGAACAAGCAGATCGGATTCAAGCAAATTTCTTGAGGGAGTACCTGTGGAAGAGGCGTTGTACGCTGCAAAGTTATTTCTACTGCGGAGTAGACCACTTCAACTGTTCACTATCACAAAATGGCGGTGCGCGTCGCAAAATCCTGAATCAAAGCTACTATTCAATTTACTATAAATTTACACTTTAAGCAGTCAAACCATAATATTGATGAAAATAAGACGAATGAGAAATAACAAGATATGAATTACACGAAGAATGAGAAATAACAGATGGAAGTTTCGTACGATTTTTCAAAAAAACTCAAAGTTATAAAAAGGAGGGTCGCAGGTTATAATGTATATATATCGTAGGTTGTTTAAGCATCTTAATAGCTAATATGCTATGTTAGGGATTTTATTCAACTATTATTAGCATAAATCAGAATTGATAAATATGACTAATATCATTTGATAGTAGAGGAAAAATGCACTTTAATGTCTTTCAGTCATGGCTGTAATCAGGGTATCAGTTAGTTAAAAAATTAATTTTACCTACTCGATAGTCAGCTTCACGCGCGCGCAGTTGAAATGACGCGGCGCGCAATTCTGTCGCAGTAAATGTGAAACAAATCTTTTTTTGTACAATTTTGTTATCGCGTGTTACATAAACGTGTTCTGTCATGTCCACGATTTAAAAACGTTACCGCCCCAACATTTAAATAGTGGTTAAAAACCAGAACAGTTCCATCTTTATGAAGCCATCGTGGCCTAGCAATCCAAACCCTGGGAAATTTTCAACATCAATATTTTATTCAGTTTATCAAGTATTGAAAAGCAATACCATTTTAAACAATTATTATTCTCTAATTCGTTTGATGCAATATAAAATCGCACGAGTTGATATGGTGGAAAATTAACGATAAGATAACTCAAATTTAGATACCTTGCACTTTTTGAAACGCTTTGATGATATACAGACCCCTCCCTTTTCTACTATTCTTTCAGCAGCACGTTTCTTCGTTTTACAATCACAAGGTCCAAATTTCCCCCAGTCCGTTACAGGACATGATTCACATTTCTTGAACTCACAGTCTACGGTCATGGTTGTCGGGGGACAAATAGCACCATCCACAAGCACTGTTACAGGCCTGCTTCTGGTTTTTTTCCTGTTCGATCCACATTCGGGAACGCATGACGAATAATCAGCCCAATATCCAACTTTACACGCTTGCTGCTCCTTTTTCCCTTCTTTTTCCTTTTTCTTTTCCTCATCCCCTTCCTTTTCCTTTTCCCCTTCTTTTTCCTTTTCCTTTTCCTCATCTCCTTCCTTTTCACATTGTTTTATTTGACAATGTCTCTTTTCCGTCTGTTTTTTGCAATCGCTTGATTCATGAGCTTCGTGGATACGTGATCGACGCTGTTCCCCGTCGCCACAAGGCTTATCGCAGAGCGTCCATTGCGACCAATCAGTTATCAGACAATCTTCTTCTTCATCCTGTTTATCCTTGTCCTGGTCCTGGTCCTGGTCCTGGTCCTGGTCCTGGTCCTGGTCCTGGTCCTTTTCCTCTTTCTTTTTCTTTTTCCTTTTCCTTTCCTTTTCGTCAGCAGCCTCTTTTTCCTGTTCCTCTTTCTTTTTCCTTTCCTTTTCGTCAGCAGCCTCTTTTTCTTTCTTTTGTCTCTCCTGTTCCTCTTTCTTTTTCCTTTCCTTTTCGTCAGCAGCCTCTTTTTCTTTCTTTTGTCTCTCCTGTTTCTCTTTCTTTTTCCTTTCCTTTTCGTCTGCAGCCTCTTTTTCTTTCTTTTGTTTTTCCTGTTCCTCTTTCTCTTTCCTTTCCTTTTCGTCAGCAGCCTCTTTTTCTTTCTTTTGTCTCTCCTTTTCCTCTTTCCTTTTCCTTTCCTTTTCGTCAGCAGCCTCTTTTTCTTTATTTTGTCTCTCCTGTTCCTCTTTCTTTTTCCTTTCCTTTTCGTCAGCAGCCTCTTTTTCTTTTCTTTGTCTCTCCTGTTCCTCTTTCTTTTTCCTTTCCTTTTCGTCAGCAGCCTCTTTTTCTTTCTTTTGTCTCTCCTGTTCCTCTTTCTTTTTCCTTTCCTTTTCGTCTGCAGCCTCTTTTTCTTTCTTTTGTCTCTCCTGTTCCTCTTTCTTTTTCCTTTCCTTTTCGTCAGCAGCCTCTTTTTCTTTATTTTGTCTCTCCTGTTCCTCTTTCTTTTCCTTTCCTTTTCGTCAGCAGCCTCTTTTTCTTTCTTTTGTTTTTCCTGTTCCTCTTTCTTTTTCCTTTCCTTTTCGTCAGCAGCCTCTTTTTCTTTCTTTTGTTTCTCCTGTTCCTCTTTCTTTTTCCTTTCCTTTTCGTCAGCAGCCTCTTTTTCTTTCTTTTCTTTCTCCTGTTCCTCTTTCTTTTTCCTTTCCTTTTCGTCTGCAGCCTCTTTTTCTTTCTTTTGTTTTTCCTGTTCCTCTTTCCTTTTCCTTTCCTTTTCGTCTGCAGCCTCTTTTTCTTTCTTTTCTTTCTCCTGTTTCTCTTTATTTTTCCTTTCCTTTTCGTCTGCAGCCTCTTTTTCTTTCTTTTGTTTTTCCTGTTCCTCTTTCTCTTTCCTTTCCTTTTCGTCTGCAGCCTCTTTTTCTTTCTTTTGTTTTTCCTGTTCCTCTTTCTCTTTCCTTTCCTTTTCGTCAGCAGCCTCTTTTTCTTTCTTTTGTCTCTCCTTTTCCTCTTTCTTTTTCCTTTCCTTTTCGTCAGCAGCCTCTTTTTCTTTTCTTTGTCTCTCCTGTTCATCTTTCTTTTTCCTTTCCTTTTCGTCAGCAGCCTCTTTTTCTTTCTTTTGTTTCTCCTGTTCCTCTTTCTCTTTCCTTTCCTTTTCGTCAGCAGCCTCTTTTTCTTTCTTTTGTTTTTCCTGTTCCTCTTTCTTTTTCCTTTCCTTTTCGTCAGCAGCCTCTTTTTCTTTCTTTTGTCTCTCCTGTTCCTCTTTCTTTTTCCTTTCCTTTTCGTCTGCAGCCTCTTTTTCTTTCTTTTGTCTCTCCTGTTCCTCTTTCTTTTTCCTTTCCTTTTCGTCAGCAGCCTCTTTTTCTTTATTTTGTCTCTCCTGTTCCTCTTTCTTTTTCCTTTCCTTTTCGTCAGCAGCCTCTTTTTCTTTCTTTTGTTTTTCCTGTTCCTCTTTCTTTTTCCTTTCCTTTTCGTCAGCAGCCTCTTTTTCTTTCTTTTGTTTTTCCTGTTCCTCTTTCTTTTTCCTTTCCTTTTCTTGTTCCTCTGCCTCGTTTTCTTTCTTTTTCTTTTCATTTTCCTTTTCCTCCTCTTTCTCGCATTCGGAGAGTTTTTCACAATGTTGTGTTTCTTCCAGTGTCTTTTCGCACTGTTTCCCACCTGAGTTGTGTAAAATAATGCTTAATTCAGCTTGAAAAGCAAAAGTGTTCAGACATTTCAGAGCCGTCAGCAAAACCACTTACAATAAAGAGTGAACAAATTTCAGAAAATGGTTAACAATTTAATGCTTACAGTAATATTCATTATTCAACTTCAGTTTATATAAGTTATTCTGAAAACATTTAAAAACTTTTCACAAAATCTCAATAGCACAAGATTGCTTTTAAATCTAAGATCTATGTTATACGCAAAGAAAATATCGCTCAACTTACCGTTTATGGGCTGTTGAACTATCGTTCTTCTTCTAGTTGTGATTGGTATATTCTCATCAGAGATACAACTTCCCGAACATTCTCCCCAGATGGTCCATTGGGAAAGTCTGCAGTCTAGTAAACACGTTTCTTCAGAACAGTCTCGGAACTAGTCAGTACATTTGATGTTATTTTAATACAAAGAAGATAAGGTTATATTTTAAGAGTAATATATTATTTCCGGAATCTTGGTTACATTTCATGATTTTAACTTAGAAATCAACGTAATATTAACCAGAAGCTATCATTTAACAAACTTTTGTTTCAGATTATCATAAAATCCAACAAACGAACGAACGAAAAATCTACCTGCCACTGATCTGGACATATCTTCCCGCCATTTTCAGGTTCAGTAATAATCGTCCGCATCCTTTCTTGTATAACAGCTCCTTCTTCAACAAACCCGAATGCCCACGGGCTCCACTCACTGACCTAGTTTGAAGAATTGAGACTATTTTACAAGCTCTAACCGAGATTCAATTGCTTATTTTGTGATTTGAGATTTAAAACGTTTTGTGAGTTTATTGCATGAAATTATTATGGTATTTAAAGCAATGATATAACGATTTATCGACATTCAACAATCACCTTATAATACCTAAAGATACTAAGATGTATAAACTGCTGAATAAGTTTAAAGTAACTTGATTCTTACTTTGCAGTCAGTTTTACTTGTACAGGGTAAGGGTACGGGATCACAGGGTTTAGTTTCAACTAGTCCAGGGCACTCTTTTCCTCCTGAGGTTAAGTCTTATCATTCTGAATCATTAATCGTCATGTACTTATGTTATTTTTTAGCCATTTTTGATAACTGTCCTCAGAAAAGGACATTTTATGAGCCTAAAACGTAAATAGATATAGTTCACAGAAAATTTCATAAGCTTTTAAACTAAGCAATCAGCATATTGTTATGTTTATTTATTACGTTGAGCACTTGTACGCTAATTATCACTCTGATAACTTACTATGATCGGGTCTAGTGATGATAGCGCGTTTCCTGGTTACATTAATAATATCTGTCTCCAGATCAACACAAGAGACAGGGCACTCACTCCAGCCTGTCCATTCACTGACTTCACAGTCTCTTCCAGGACACAACCCATCTGAACAGGGAACTACCTGAAATAGTGGAAAATAAATACTGTAATGAAATGTCAACACCAATATAAGCAAAACATTTGTATTATGAAGACAAAGTATTTGATCAGAACAACGTACACACACATTTTTAAAGATCATTTCCGCACTTATATTCGTGTACAGTGTTAAAGGCAGCGCGAGCGGAGCCTGATTTATTCATAAATTCAGAACATAACTTGAGTACGGAGTGGCATTAAAATATCATCTCTTACCTGTTGAAGTAGAGGACACTGCTGTCTCTTACCTGTTGAAGTAGAGGACACTGCTGTCCACTACGAGTAGGGTACACCTCTATACGGCGAGTACGAACTCTAGTATCGTAGACCAGTTCCCACTCGCTCCACTCTGTTACCTTGCAATCTATCACTTCGCATCTAGCATCTGATTAGTGGGTATTATTGGGAACAATTCTTAACTATATAATAGTGAAAACAACGCACAATACAAGTTAAGTCATATCTTTCTCTAAAGATCTTTACTTAAGGATTGTCTAACTTAAGGTCAAAACATCACTGTGATTCTGTGATTGCTGCTAAATTCTCTTTTCATCTGCTAATTACTGAGACAATACTGATAACGGATAAACTTCGTTTCCATTAATCATGCACAATCAGTGAGAATAGATTGATTTGTGGTCAGTTCGACGCGACGGTCGACGCTTAATTCTTTCAGGACGATCCTGAATAAGGCCAGGCAGAATAAAATGTGACTGCAACAAATCACACATTTCCTCGACTTACCGGTAATGCTCAAGTGATTCTCCCAATTCAAGGTAAAAGGGTGTATGCGCTCTAGTTCTATCTTGGTAACAAGATTGGAGTTGTAGGCGGGTATCTGAGATATTATCCTCCTGACTTTTCCATCCTGGTCTATATCAAGTCTGAACGTGTCTTCTACTTTAAGATTGAGGATCATCTCCCCCCTGTTGTAGTTAAACATGTCGAAGGAGGGTTCTAGAAGCTGAAATGGATTTTTAGGTTTTGTGTTATAGTGCTGGTTTTTAAAACTATGTTTTAAGTTTGTTAATTTTGTTTAGAAATTAGTTGAGACCAGCAATCTTTGGCACGTTTTATGTATTAAGTTTAAGGCCAGAGGGGGGGGGGGGGGGGTAAGGGGTCAAAAACTTCGACCAAAATATTATTTTCTAAATCAATATAACTTTTGATGACAAAAACATTGCTGCTATTCACATATTTGTAGCTGCTTAAATTTTTTAATAATTGAGGTTAACCGATTTTCACAAAATTGACTATACAACATTGAGGTTAATAAAATCGAGGTTAATATTTTATTACACTCCATAATTTTTTGTTATTTCGGTCAGCAAATGTTAACTCTAAATTTTAGGTTCATAATTATCAGAAAAAGTAATTTCCAAACGTGATTAAATGAGGTTAACCTCTTTTTTTAGATATAGCGAGAATAGATCAAATGATAGAGCTATTATTTTCATCGTTAGTTTCCGGTATGCATATATCTAAATAGATGACGTGTTGATTGACTTTCTTTTATCTTGGGAAAATGAAAAAATGAGGTTAACTATCACATTTTGGTACCGTAGGGAATATAAATACGATTCTTACTTATGTAATGTACCACAATATCGCAGTGAGGTATCTATTGGTATCGCAATGCCTACAACTATAATCACGTGACAAAGGTGATTTGAACTGACCATACCTATTGGTACTGATTTAGGGAAAGCAAACACAGCGAAATCTTTCTTCGAAAAACAACTAACAGAAGGAGTTGAAGCTGGCCTGCAACCTTTTACCTGCGATCCAAAACCACTTGATAACCCCATCACACCAGTTGAAGTTAAACTTGCTGCAAGTAAACTCAAATCAAACCGTGCCAGTGGTCCAGATAATCTCCAGAATGAGCTGATAAAGTACGCCCATCCAATCACTTTTGAGAAGTATGCTGAGGCAATTAACGAGTCATTTAGTGGGAAAAAATACATAAGTTCGATAGGACAAGGTATTGTGACTCCTCTACAAAAGCCCGGTAAACCTAAGGGTCCCCTCACAAGCCTTAGGCCACTTACACTGTTAAACGGATCGAGGAAGATGCTCACTCAAATTGCCTTAAAACGGGTTGAGAGTAGAATTGACAACTACACCATGCCATGGCAGAGTGCTTACAAGAGAGGTAGGAGCTGCTCTGACATTGTGTGGGCTCAGAGAATGCTCATATCTGTTGTGATGAGGAAGAAATGGACATTTAGCAAAATGGGTATTGATATGAGTAGAGCTTTTGATACCGTGAAAAGGGACACTATCATCAATGTTTTGAAAGATGCTGGTTGTTCGGAGGACGACATTCGTTTAGTTCAATACCTTCTATCGAATACTCTCCTTAGAGTTCGTGTTAACTCCTCACTGTCGGAAGAGTTTGAAAGTTTACTCGGAGCCTTTTAAGGTGACAGTTTATCTGGAAAGCTATTCACACTTATTCTTGCAGCAGCCTTACACCACCTCAGAGCTGTATCTGGGAGACCAAACCCACCAGTATCAGAACTAGGTTTTCCAACTGAGTGGGAATATTCAGACGATTGTGACTTTGCTGACGAGGACATCGAGAAACTGAGAATTTTCCTTCCTACAGTGAAGGAGATTCTCAAAGACTGGAACCTCCAAGTAAATGAAAGTAAAACTGAATTCAGTACCTTCTACCTAGCGAAAAAATCTGATAAAGATACAAACGGTCAGCCATTAGCTAATAACGAACCATGGCGAAGTAACAAGTCACTAGGTAGTAGGTTCCTTACTGTGTACTGAGAAGGACATTCAAAGAAGAAGAATCCTAGCTGAGATTGCTTTTAAGAACTTTGAAAAAATTTGGCTGTCTGGTAAGAAAATATCCCTTGAAAGAAAGCTGAGGTTATATGATGCTCAAGTTGTATCTGTATTGATTTACAACTCAAATAGTTGGAGTCCTAAGAAAGCAACCATGGAGAAAATGGACACACTCCATCGTAGACACCTCAGGTCCATTTTAAACATCAAATGGCCTAAAGGTATGATAAGCAACAAAGCATTGTATGAAAGGTGCAAAGTTGAAAAGTTATCCAAGCGTATTGAACACCAGCGGTGGAAGATGTTTGGACACATTCTCAGGAGTATGGAGAACACCCCAGCCCAAACGGCTCTCTCATTTGCTATTGAATCAGATAATTTATTCATTGGAAGATTGGGGAGACCTAGAATGAACTTGTTATCGGTTTTAAGAAGTGATTTAAATAATAGAAATTTGCAAATGGACAACTTGTATGAATTGAACGAAATTAGAGATATAGCTGCATGCAACAGATGTTGGGAAAATCTTTTTCAAGGGTACAGTTTACCGCATTAAGGTATTTTTAATAATCATTTTTGTCGGTAAGATCCTGTTTTATAATAATAATAATAATATTTTAGTAGAAGATTTTATCCGTAAATGGCTAAAAAATGAGGTTAACCTCTCATTTTTTGAATATCTGACCAGTCAAATACATGTTAACCTCAAAAACTTATTCGTTACACTGTGGAAATGTTTTACTACATATATAATAACATATTAATAAACCAATCTCAGTGTTAAATGGTCTGAAGCGAGGTTAACAACCAATTTTTTACTACTTTTAAGCAGTAAGTGTTTACAAGAAGTCTTGGTTAACCTCATTTTTTACAATACAAGGATATTAACTACTGAAAGTGGCTAAAATCATTAAGGGGATGGCTAGGTCTGATCAAGCAAACGTTGTTAAGTGTATAGAAAGTCCTAACTAACGAACTGTGATACATTCCAGTGAATATTCAAAATTTTGAAAACACTAAATTGCATCTATCTCAAAACACATTGTGTGACTTTCAGTTCCTTAGTTGAGAAGAACAGCCACCCTCTGATATTGAGATTTGGTACAGTGGTTCCTTGGACAAGTATCTAGATATTAGGTGCAGCGATTTTTTTATTCGACTCGTTTCTCGATTTATGAGGTTAACCAATTAAATTTTCCGAATTTTTGACATGGTTAACCTCATAATTCGAGAACCGAGTCAAATAAAAAAAATCGCTGCACCATAAATGAGGATAATTGTCCAAGGAACCACTGTACCAAACCTCAAGATCAGGGAGTGGCCGGTTTTCTCAACTAAGGAATCGAAAGGTCAAAAAAATTACAGCCGTTTAAAGATCCAGTTTAACATGTAATTACAGGTAAACCTCAAAATTTAGCGCGCGATAGCTAAGAATTGCGCAAGGTCAGATTTTGATCCGGTTTTTTTCTTCTTGTTCGTCTATAGCAGCTATTATCAAATATGTGAAAACTAGAAAAGTGCCATTTACCCCCCCCCTCTGGCCTTAATATGTAGTTAATATAACTACAAAGTGAGATTTTATAAACATTACTAGCTGCTTACTTGCTTCTTTCCGCTGTAAACTGTGTAAAAAGCTATTTTCTTTTCTCCTAAGGTTTTAACTTCCTCTTCCGAACCATCGAATCTGAAATAGCATTAAATGGTTTCCAGCAATAATTTACCAAAAGATCAAACATGACATTTGCACATTGAAATCTGCACAAAATTACTGACTTAGAGTTCAACAAATATTGAAATAAGTATAAAACCAACCGTCTAAGCTTGGATAATTATAAAGAAGACCGATTTTCCAGCCCTAGTAAGATAAACCTACCTCAGTGCAATCCTGCAGACAGTATCTCCAGAGTTAGTGAGAAGGTTAACTCCCACAACCCCGCGATATCTACCAGAAAATGCTCCTTTTATCTTGATCCCACTACCTTTTGTTAGACGTCCTTTGTTAATGCTGAATGTGTATCTGTCCGGGCTGGTCATGGAGACGCCCACTAGATCTACTGAAATTGTTGTGAAATACTTTGGTTACATGAAGGTTGTGAAACACACAGACAATCTACACCATCATTATACGGTGATGGTTTAATCACATAATCAGATAATAAATAACACTACTTCTTTCACTTTTAGCATCTCCTAACTTCAATCATTAAAGACATATTATATATATCACGAGATCTCATTATAATTATTCTATATTATCAGCACCACACAGCAAACATAATCAGTGTTCTCTGGGCTCTCTACACGGTATACTAACAATAGCATAATATCACTGTACCGTCAATTTTATATCCAGCATTCTTGCTCAATATAAGATTAAACGGCCTGCTCTGTCACAACAAACCTGCTCCACATTCCTTACGTTCCTTTAGGTCAGGACACGGTACTGTCTCCCATATCCTTCCCACTACTTTCCGAGTTCGGGTCTGTTGTCCTGGACCACATTCTGCGTCACACTCAGACCACTCAGACCATTCGGTCACCTAAGTTGAGAACTTGGTTCAGATTTAATTGATAGCTAATTTTAGTTTAGATCTTACATGGTTTATTGTTTGTGAACCGTTGTTAATGCGTTTCCGTTTTTTGTTTTCAGCAGTTGTGCCAAGATGAAAAAACACTCATCACGGCGCGGCAGTTGTCATAACACATAATTAAACAATTCATGTCATGACAGCAGTACACATTGTAGCTGTTATACCATGACAGGTAGATGTCAGGTGGCCCAATCCTCCTACTTATAATCTAGTTTGCTTGGCTGGAAAGGGCAATAGCTCTCAGAGTGCAAACTCAGAGCTCTCAAGCACAAAATTAGACCCAATGGCAATAATCTGATAGGGTTAAGTGTGACTACCACTAAGTTTCAGGGTTCCCTCACTCCAATACTCCAATACTATCTATATCTTGTAGTAATCAAGATTAGTAAATTTGACGATACTCAGATACTGCGACTACTGAGCTACAAATGTCCGTACAGTGCACCGTAGTTTGGCTGTAGTAATAACCGCTGATTTTTGGGGCGGCCAAGTGGTTGAGTGAGCAATTTTCTGAGTGTCGGTTAATTTCATGGGCCCCTTCATCCTAAGATCATATTGGTGTTTAATCGTGCTGATGAGTCTACGAAAATAGAAGAATAATCTGCATTGTTGGGTGCAGCTGTGTCTTTTGTATGCGTAAGTGATTTGTGTCGCGTATACGGCTGAGCTTGATCATTGATTTTGGTTTGAGCATTTGGGGCAAGGTTTGTCTGAATCATAAGAAGTTGAAATGTCCACCGTGTGCCACTGTACCGGGTAAAAATAGCACTTGCAGGTGCACTAAAAATAGCACCCAACTTGCACGTGCACTAAAAATAGCACCCAACTTGCACGTGCATTAAAAATAGCACCCAACTTGCACAATGTACGTGCACTAAATATAGCACCTAATTTGCACGTGCATTGCCTCCCTACGTAACAGAATGGTAGTGTCACGCGGAACAGGACATTTATATGAGAACATAAGGGGACCACTGCCATGAGGCATTATGAGGCATAATACAGCAGTTTACCTGTGATTTACAGCCGCAATACCCTTGTACAATTCTAATTACCTTAATAATATAGTTGCTTCTAGTTTACTAATTGCTGCATAGATGTGTGAACCTTCGAGACAATCTAATGCACTTTGTTGTGACTATCCCTTGTTCTGCAACTTTGCTATTATTTTGTTTTGTGACGTAACTTTATGACGTCCAGATGAAACCCAAACCTTTATGCCTGACCACAGAGTTAAACATGGACCATTTAGTTGCAGACACGCTTGTTAAAGTCAAATGTTTTGTTTGGAGTTCGTAAAGCTCATCTAGTCTTAATAATAATTATTTTAACGCTTTTTAATGTCTTGTTATCGAATGTTCCAAAGTTGCCGATTCAACCTAAAAAGAAGCGTGTACCGAACAGATGAACTCAGATCGTACGATTGACACTAACGGAGCTCTGCAAAACAAATCAGCAATTTGAAAATTGCTCAATTTAAGTTGATTTTCAGATCAGGATTGAGGGTTAACCCTAGTATTACGATTGTGTTATGGAGTGATGGCCGATGGGTCCGATAAGCCGTTATCAAAATGGACTCTCCGCCATTATTTACCCTGGTTAGACTGAAACAGTAATCTTAAACCTGATATGATCTAAATTCTAGTCTCAGTACTTGATTATTTATTTTAAACAGCGAACTGAAGGAATGTCGTTGGTACTAAAATAATGAAAAACATGATGTATGAGATGAGATCAGCAAGCACAGAACTACCAAACGTTACCGCCGGTAAGTTACCAGAGATTCTAGCTAGGGGTCCTTCACATATTACATAATAAGCCGAGGCCAGAGGGGAGGGGGGGGGGGGCTGGGGTTAAAAATTTGCCAAAACGTGATTACGTTATATGTGAACGACCCCTTAGTTAGTTTGTAGTTATCTATCTTGATTTTTTTCCCTTTTTGCGAGATATTCATATTTCTATTATATAGGTTGTCACTTGTAAATGTATAGTAAGGTAAATTTGATTTTTATACAAAACTGATTTTATAGATTCAATTTTACGGTGAACGGAGCAAGATCCCTTCTTCGTTCTTCCTACAAGTAACCAACGTGATGATATTAGTAACCATAGTAACCATAGTAATTACAAGTAACCAACATGATATAAGTAACCATAGTAACCATAGTAATTACAAGTAACCAACATGATCACAGTGCTGGCAAGCACGAGCGGTGTCTTTATTGGGGGTATACTATGTACCCCCTTTACTATTGTACCCCCTTTACAATTATACCCCCTTTACTATTATAACCCCTTTGGTACTCGTCGGAAGCCTCTTTCGTGCACGCGAAGCGTGCACTCCGGCAGGAGTTTTTCAGGCATTAAGACTCATCGGAAGTCGTTCAGCAGATTTATTTTTAGTTCAAAACATTCTAATTTGATGTCAAAGATGACAGGAATAAAAAATAGTTATGTTGAGATTTTTAAGAAATTTGCATAAAATACTCGCCAGCACTGTTATACGAAATTCGGTAAAAAACCCAAAATCGCCATATTCAGGTGCCTTAAAAACCATGTTAAAATTGAGTTAGGATCTGAAATTTTTCAGGGCGTCTAGACGTTGACCAAATCGATTGCAAAAAAAGTTTCAGGTTTCAGGAGCATCGGGAAATTGGTTTTCTAGAACCCCTGTTTTACGATAGATTGTCGTGATATATACAGATATACATACATATTCTGGGATAGACGCTTTGCCAGTCAATTGTAGCCTGTATTTAGGTGTCCATAGATTCAAAAGTATAACAGATACAGCCATTTCCGACCACAGGTCTTGCGAATAATTGTTTATACTTTAGTTTAAATTGTATAAAAAAATTATTTGACGTCATAGACACCCCTTGATGACGTCATCAAGTTAACCGTTTTTAAAACTTGATTTTTGACAAAGTAATAGCTTTTAAAATTAATTTTAAACAATTAAGGAGTAATTTTATTCAAAATCTGAGGAAATTTTTATCCTAGATAATTGTTCAAGCATTCTGAAAATCTACCGGAAAATTTTTCTAGCTTGCTCCTTCATAAAGATATTCGTCATTGAAGTTTGTGCTTTTTTGAAGAATTATTTTATAAAAACGTCAATTTTGCGATTTAGTATTCTCTGGTGTTGGGCCATGCCTTGGGTTGTGGAGCTCAGTTCTGCTTCCTATAGGTATAAATTGTGCATTAGGCTAGTTTTAAAGTTGAAAATCGAAAAGTTGCACACGTGGGGACACGCCCAAATTGATAGAAAATCGCTAAAATCACTGAAAATTGCTGTTTTCGTATTTTTCTGTCAACTTTAGAGTGCCGTTGTGATTACAGTTCTTCTTGAAATACTTTGAAACTTTGCATGCTTATCAAGCTATATATACAACAATTACATGCAAAAAGTTACGGCGATTCAATATTGGATGCGCACGTAACGTCCGCTCAAAGTTTGCACTTGCGAAAGGTGAGAATTTTGCTCATTCGTGATTTCCAACAAATTCTGCTTTGCCACGACAGTTTAATGTCATCAATATGAATATAATGCCAACTTGAATGAGTATTAAGTGGCATATTCAGTCAGTGATCGACCGATATGCTTCCCTAAACACAAGGAAATGTTTTTAAAGGAAAAATTTCGAAATCGTTGAAACTTCCTCCTTATTATCGAAGATATCAGTTTATATTTCGACTTTATAAAGTACCCTGACATTATAATCAAAAAGAGATGATATTTTACCAAAACCCATAATCATGGGTAGAGTGGACCGCTGTCAGTGTCTCTCTTTCCCAAACAAAAGGAAATGATATTACTTTGATTGACCGTTCTCAAATGCAAAATGATACCGAGAATGAAATCGGTCGCTCGCTTTTCCCATTCATTTACAATTGTAATAGATTAAGAAGAACTACCCAAAGGCAGCTGTACTCGGCAATGAAGATTCAATTAACTTCAGCTTGTTCAATAAGTAATAACTACCACCCTTGTCCCTTACCCCGAAATACTAGGTATCGACCCGAACGCAACCCAAAGAGGTTTTTACAGCATCTGATTGATGTAATCAATCGAAACTTAATTATACAATTCGTAAGCCGTGAATGAATGGGAAAAGCGAGCGACCGATTTCATTCTCGGTATCATTTTGCATTTGAGAACGGTCAATCAAAGTAATATCATTTCCTTTTGTTTGGGAAAGAGAGACACTGACAGCGGTCCACTCTACCCATGATTATGGGTTTTGGTAAAATATTAGTAACCATAGTAACCATAGTAACTACAAGTAACCAACATGATATTACCCGATATTATCTCCCCAGGTATACACTACCCTTTGGAAGCAGCAGACATAGTATTCGGAGTGGCCCACGTGCTTTGTTTCGTCATAGGTATCCTAGGTAACATCGTACTTATATGGTACTTCCTGACCCACGTTCGTCACGACCTTCCCACCATGTTATACGTCATGTGTTGTGCTAACGATATTCTTACATCAGCTCTCGTCATCTTTGTGGCGGTGTGTCTATTTAATAAAAGAGAGGCAGATTTCTTTGGGAATGAAACGTTTTGCAAATGTTGGGCACTTCTCTCTAGGATAAACCAGAGGGTCACAGTTTTTCTTGTCATGGTTTTGAGTATTTCGAGGACGATTAGTTTGACTTCACCGTTGCGACTCATCAGGCGCCGATTTGCGCTCGTTAGCATTGGCATATGGGTTTTCCTGGCTATATTGTACGAGGTGGTGTTAACAAGTATGTGAGCTTATCAATTTATATAATTTATCGATTTTCCCTCTGAATGTCTTTTTGCACAACTCAGAATTCTTAGTTAGAATTTAATTTCAAAAATTAACCTCAATATTCATTTTAATTTTGATTATTACTGAAAATCTTACGACATAACGTGTCATTAACGCTGACTACTCCCCAGGTGCAGGCTACTACCGAGCAGTGTACGAGAGAAGGGACGCATTCTGTGACATGCAGTTTGGGGACAGCAACAACACCACCGTCCTATCCGGCAAAGTGGACGTGGTCGGGAAATGTGTCACGTACGCAGGGCCTGTCATTGTCGTCATGATAAGCTGCCTTATCTGTGTTATATTTCTTAAAAAACATCCCGTCAGAACTTGTGAGAACAGGATGCCACACATCATGAAGATAAAACAAAAGGCCACGGTTACAATTGTCATTTTTACGCTTGTTTTTCTGATATTAAACATACCAGAACTGATACAAACCATAATTTGGTTTATTGTCGTAAGGAGATATGGTTTTTGGCCGGGGCCCGCGGACTGTTTACATCCGGTTGTTTACTATTACTTCCGGAACTTTACGAACGTTCTCTGTTTGGGCTTAAACGCAACTGCTAACCCAGTTGTTCTGTTTTGGAGAATGCAGCGATTTTATCAGTGGCTACAAAGTGAAACACAAGGATTTGTATCGTATGGTGGTAAAATGGCGACCGGTTTAAATACAGTTGTTCAGGGTGAACTAAGACATCTTAACGCCACGGTGGAAATGACTAGGAGTCAGATAAAAAGTGCAGCGGATTTTGTCCGGGAATATTCTCACGATAAGATTAGTAGCACTGAGGTGGTGCAGGTGAAAAACGAGAGATCTTCAGAGGATATAAGTGGAAAAGAGATATCAGAGGAATATCCGGGTGAATATCCAGATATAACCGAACAAGCAGGCACGGTGACCAGTCATTGCTGAACCAAATCAAATCAGCAACCACCAACTTTTGTATTTAAATAAATTCTCCTTAAATTCATAATTATTAATAAGACTGTTATATTCTTTCGGAGTAATTACACTTATAGTTTTTAAATCATTAATTAGACTCACATTACGTGTTATCAGACTTTGTCAAATATTTTGTGTTTGCTATCATCAAAGAGTTTCAAGATATAGTTAATTTTCTTTTGTCGTTGTATATATATATATATATATATATACATATAACTTTTCATTTAATAATGTTAATTATGTATCATGTATTCTCATTAATGTGAGATACTGTGAATTTCTCTATACTGTTTATTAACCCTAACATAAAAAATAAAGATCGCTTGGAGACAATCATTCGGGGGTGCCGGGTGGGGGAGGGGGGGGGGGGGGGGGGGGGGGGGGGGGGGGGGGGGGGGGGGGGGGGTGGGGGGGGGGGGGCTGGGGGGGGGGGGGGGGGGGGGGGGTCATCAGGTGAGTAGGTAACCTGGTGAAGTTATTCGGATGCAGAGGGATAGAAGAGACAATGATGGTGAACTTCATAACTTGGATAAGAGGATGGGAACCTAGAAGAGTTGGTCTGATCCAGGAGAAGCACGTGACTCCTTGGTTAGCCACGTGCCACGTGAGAACAAAAGAGAACCAAGGTCGGCTCTCATAGAAAACCACTTTGGAATACAAGAGAAATAAGTTAAGTTCTGAATATCTAAACCAGCTGCAATAACAGAGTTACACAGACGACACATGAAGTACAACTTGACAGATTAAAAATATTGCTGACAGATATTAAAGGCAAATAACATCTGACCTAAAAACGAACCTGACAAGTATGATTACAGGGAGGCACATCGCACTCCTTTCTCTCACTCAGCACAGGGCACGGCAGGATGGGCGTGGTCACCAGTACTTTACGCTCACGCGTTTTATAGGGAGTCTCACGCGTTTTGTAGAGTCCGTTTATACAGGAGAGAGAACATGGACCATATTCAGTCCACTCTGACACGTAACACTTGTCTGGGTCAACCTGAGAAAAACAGTTCCATGAGCCCTTCCAAGTCAACACTTAAAATCTGCTGATGATGATAAAATGAGGTTCTTCTGCTGCTCTTCTTAAATCCGACATAGATATAATTTAAGGTTCTTTTCCTTAAATGTCCCCCCTTAAATGTAGTGTTGGTCAACTTAATAATAAAAAGTCACCTACCGGGCACTTAAAAGGACACTCTGGTTGAAGTCCCTTTTCAAACTTAACCTCCATCAAATTTGTACTACACTGATCTTCAATCCAAACACTAGTCACCATGCGATGTTTCATGAACACAGCTCCCTCTACATCCCCACAAATATTAACACACCCCTCCCACTCTCCCCAGTTGGTGTAAGCACAACATCTGCTTAGATCGCAGAGTTCCTCCTCAAACAGGTCCGGACATGTCACCTTGCCTGGGTTCTTAATCACGTGCCTGCAATTGTTATTGTAATTAAACCATCTTAGCAGGTCATTAAGATCTATGAAAAGTACAAGCAAGAAATATAATTTACAAATTACAATCTCCCAGATATTATACCTAACCTTTGGCGGGATCGTTTATCAGTAGAGCGAGCATTCTGACAGTCAGATGAACACTCTTTACTCCACTTGGACCATGTTGAGACATCACACTCACACGGGTGTGAGTTGCACGTGCTGGTTTCTGCAACTTCGCCACAGTGACCACCTCCTGTTTGAGAGGAGGAATCAAAAAAGAGGGGGATTTAAAAAGAGGAGGATTCATTTTCAAATTAACTCATTATTTGAATGTAGTAACAAGATGAGTTTTCTACCTTTTAAGACAACACGATATCTGGTCATGTTCCCACCAGCACACTCCGCAGAACATTCTCCCCACTTTCCCCACTCCTCATACGCACAGTTACAATCCCTCTTTAGATCGCACAGTTCCTCTTCAAACAATACCGGACATGTTACATTCCCTGGGTTCTTTACTACAATCCTGGAATTGTTCTCAAATGTACGATTATCCAGCTCCGTGGATTGACAGCATCCAACCCAAAAATTAAGCAAAGCTGTTTGTTGAATTTAAGAATTTAATATTAAATATATACCATCATATCATTTTACCCAGGATTGTGGATAAAATGTTTTAATTAGCAGAAAATACAATTATTTCAAACAGGAACTCTAGATAAATGGCGACTGATTCCTAACCTTTGGCGGGATCGGATATCAGTAGAGCGAGCATTCTGACAGTCAGATGAACACTCTTTACTCCACTTGGACCACGTTGAGACATCACACTCACACGGGTGTGAGTTGCACGTGCTGGTTTCTGCAACTTCGCCACAGTGACCACCTCCTGTTTGAGAGGAGGAATCAAAAAAGAGGGGGATTTAAAAAGAGGAGGATTCATTTTCAAATTAACTCATTATTTGAATGTAGTAACAAGATGAGTTTTCTACCTTTTAAGACAACACGATATCTGGTCATGTTCCCACCAGCACACTCCGCAGAACATTCTCCCCACTTTCCCCACTCCTCATACGCACAGTTACAATCCCTCTTTAGATCGCACAGTTCCTCTTCAAACAATACCGGACATGTTACATTCCCCGGGTTCTTTACTACAATCCTGGAATTGTTCTCAAATGTACGATTATCCAGCTCCGTGGATTGACAGCATCGAACCCAAAAAATAAAGCAAAGCTGTTTGTTGAATTTAAGAATTTAATATTAAATATATACCATCATATCATTTTACCCAGTTATTGAGGATAAAATGTTTTAATGAGCGGGAAATACAATTATTTCAATTGGGAACTCTAGATAAATGGCGACTGATTCCTAACCTTTGGCGGGATCGGATATCAGTAGAGCGAGCATTCTGACAGTCAGATGAACACTCTTTACTCCACTTGGACCATGTTGAGACATCACACTCACACGGGTGTGAGTTGCACGTGCTGGTTTCTGCAACTTCGTCACAGTGACCACCTCCTGTTTGAGAGAAGGAATAAAAAAGAGGGGGAATTAAAAAAGAGGAGCTGAAATAAAAAAGATTAAAGAGGGGGGAATAAAAAAGAGGGGGAATTAAAAAAGAGGGGGAATTAAAAAAGAGGGGGAAATAAAAAAGAGGAGCTGAAATAAAAAAGAGGGGGATTAAAAAAGGGGGATTAATTTCAAAACCAATTAATATTTGAATATAGTAACAAGATGAGTTTTCTACCTTGTAAGACAACACGATATCTGGTCATGTTCCCACCGGTACACTCCGCAGAACATTCTCCCCACGTTCCCCACTCCTCATACACACAGCTACAATCCCTCTTTAGATCGCACAGTTCCTCTTCAAACAATACCGGACATGTTACATTCCCTGGGTTCTTTACTACAATCCTGGAATTGTTTTCAAATGTACGATTATCCAGCTCCGTGGATTGACAGAACCCGACCCAAAAAATTGAGCAAAGCTGTTTGTTGAATTCAAAATTAAATTATATCATCATATTATTTTACCCAATTTTTGTGGATAAAATGTTTTAATAAACAGGAAATACAATTATTTCAAACAGGAACTCTAGATAAATGGCGACTGATTCCTAACCTTTGGCGGGATCGGATATCAGTAGAGCGAGCATTCTGACAGTCAGATGAACACTCTTTACTCCACTTGGACCACGTTGAGACATCACACTCACACGGGTGTGAGTTGCACGTGCTGGTTTCTGCAACTTCGTCACAGTGACCACCTCCTGTTTGAGAGGAGGAATTAAAAGAGAGCGGGAATTTTAAAAATAGGAGGAACTAATGCTGAGGTTTATACATTTTTTTGCTGTGAAATGCAAGTCGATCAGTTAATAATAAAACCCAAACCTTGTAAGACAACACGATATCTGGACATCTTCCCACCAGCACACTCAGAAGAACACCCTCCCCACTTGCCCCACTCCTCGTACGCACAGTAACCACAATCCTTTCTCTCCCAATTCCAACACTTCAACCTCCTTATCTTGGGGGGACACGTTAGCCCAGGAGGGGGAGATTTAATTGACTCGAACATGAAGCGGTAGTTCATGTCGTCACAACATTCTGTCCAGGTGCCAGGTGTGGTTTCGCCGGTTTTCCACAGATTGATACAAATTTCATCGTTATCCGAATACCTGCGTTTTGAAAAATTGGATGAATATTACACCTGCCCACTATGCCCTGTCACCTGCCCACTATGCCCTGTCACCTGCCCACTATGCCCTGTCACCTGCCCACTATGCCCTGCCACCTGCCCACTATGCCCTGTCGCCTACCCACTATGCCCTGTCACCTGCCCACTATGCCCTGTCACCTGCCCACTATCTTGCCCTGTCACCTGCCCACTATGCCCTGTCACCTACCCACTATGCCCTGCCACCTGCCCACTATGCCCTGTCGCTGTCATCTGCCCACTATGCCCTGTCACCTGCCCACTATGCCCTGTCACCTGCCCACTATGCCCTGTCACCTGCCCACTATGCCCTGTCACCTGCCCACTATGCCCTGTCACCTGCCCACTATGCCCTGTCGCCTACCCACTATGCCCTGTCACCTGCCCACTATGCCCTGTCACCTGCCCACTATCTTGCCCTGTCACCTGCCCACTATGCCCTGTCACCTGCCCACTATGCCCTGTCACAGTGTCACCTACCCACTATGCCCTGTCACCTGTCCACTATGCCCTGCCACCTGCCCACTATGCCCTGCCACCTGCCCACTATGCCCTGTCACCTGCCCACTATGCCCTGTCACCTGCCCACTATGCCCTGTCACCTGCCCACTATGCCCTGTCACCTGCCCACTATGCCCTGTCACCTGCCCACTATGCCCTGTCGCCTACCCACTATGCCCTGTCACCTGCCCACTATGCCCTGTCACCTGCCCACTATCTTGCCCTGTCACCTGCCCACTATGCCCTGTCACCTGCCCACTATGCCCTGTCACAGTGTCACCTACCCACTATGCCCTGTCACCTGTCCACTATGCCCTGCCACCTGCCCACTATGCCCTGCCACCTGCCCACTATGCCCTGTCACCTGCCCACTATGTCCTGTCACCTGCCCACTATGCCCTGTCACCTGCCCACTATGCCCTGTCACCAGTGATCCCATAATAACACCTTTCTAGGGTCACTGTGTTCGATAGGTATATTTTTGTTTAGGTGCCTATTATTATTTACAAATAGGATTCGATTGAAATTTAGAATAACTTTAATCTTTAAATGTAATCACGTTTTAATCCTAATGAAGTAATTGCTCAGTAGTATTTATACACTTTATAATTTGTTAATTATAAATTATCATGAGTCACCTTCACCTCAAATTATACCGTTTAGATTCCACAGTTTCAGCACCTCAAATCATATATAAGTTCTCATTTCCCAGCAATTAGTTTCATCCTTTCATTAAGTTCTGTAAACGCATTTCACTTCAACCAATAAGCTTCACTCAATTAATTAGCCATCCTATCAGGCCTATTTCATTTATCACGTGACACATCATTCCATTTATAATCTTCCGCTTTAGTTCACCTTGTTGAAAGAGTTTGTCACCATTAGTCTGCTCACTTTATTAAAACACATTTCACTTTCATGTCACATGACCATTCCTCGCAAGTTTTAGATTCACGAGTCACGATATAGTTTTTGGAGATCAGTTCTGTGAATTAATACCATTTCTAATAAGTTTCTATATTTCATTCTCTTCCGCAAAACCCTATATTTAACGTCTTTCATTTTGTAAAACCTACCACTAAGTCGAGCAGCTAGGTAGTAGGTACACTAAGTGTGCACTACAACTGCACGTGAGGGAAACTAATCAATATATACCAGACATTTTAATTAACTTATCAGTAGGGAGTATTTCAGAATTATCCATGATTCTGCGGAGTGGGGCGGCCGTTTCTAGAAAGTACAATATTTCTGGGTCCGTTGATATTAAATATTGATATTCGGTAGTTCAGCTATTATTTTACTTTTATTATATTGGGCCACTTTTACAGTTGGTCTTCATCTTCTTTTATGCGGAAATTTTGTGAATATTGAAAGAGCGGACCATGTTTTTGTCAAAATCAACTTTGTTTGAAATATTCGCGGTCGAAACAAAATTACAAAATACGTCAATATTTTATGGATCAAGGGATTAAAATAAGGGCTCGTTCACATATTATCATTACGTAATCAGCCGAGGAGGGAGGGCGAGGGGGTTTCCAAATGCTTACGGTTGATTACGGTGGGGGGGGGGGGGGGTCTGGTTGTTGATTACACAATCAACATTTCGTTTTTTACCCTCTTATCTAGCCTATTATCTAGCCTATTATCTAGCCTATTATCTACCCTATTATCTAGGGCTCTAGAATAATAACAATTTGACAATATTTTAATTCAAGTTCCACTCAATTTTACTCTGATAGTGACAAAATTTAGAAATGGATCGGATATCCGACTATTATAGTAAGTAGTTTAGAAGGTGATTGGCCGAATATAATTATAACTTTATAACAATGATTTCAGCTTATTATGATCAGGGTAGCGTCAAACGTGAAGAAAAGCGTTTACAGGGAAAAAAAGTCAAAATGGAGGGGGGGGGGGGGGGGGGGTCAGGCCAAGATTACGTAATATTGCTGTCAGGAGGGGGGTTGGGTATTGATTACGGTTGATTACGGAGGGGGGAGGGGGTAAAAATTGCTAAAATGTTGATTACGTAATATGTGAACGACCCCTAAGAAAGACTATATCCATATTTCCACATAGATAGCTGAATTACAGATAATAAAAGAGCACATGTGAGGTTAGTCTCGTGAGACGACCACAATAAATATGTAATAAGATCTTAAAATAAGGATATCTACACCTTGTCATTATAACGCAGTATGTTGAAGTATAATCTTACAACAATGGAAAATTACTCACGATAAAATTATAGAGGGTACGTTGAAAATTTAGAAAAACTGATGATTTACATAGCTTCACTAATTCAAACTTGAGTAGGAGAGTTAGAGAATAGAGATAGGTTGGTATTATTCGAGAATGGCTTTTCAGTAATTTTGCAACCGTTTTTTCTTCTTCTTAACGGTGCAATAAAACTATTACAGTGCAATAGTTTTTTACATTATTTTGTTGAAATTTCGCAATCAGATATAATGGTATTTATATCATATTATTATAATATATGGTATTTAATATTCCGTTCCAAGCCGTGGCTATGGTAGAACAGTTTTGATCATAATGTCTCTTAATTGTGATAATAAGAATATAAGGTCTTATCTCCTAATTATCTCCCAATTTACTGATAATTTAAGCGTTAACACAGACTCAAATTTGTAAGAAGGGCAGATGATTGACTTCCGTAAAAGATGTCCTATAATTCGGAAAACTAACATGGATTCGTTATGAATTGCATAATATTAGTAATATTTGTTTAAATGTGCTAGGTAATATGGTAAGTTCAAGTACCACTGTAAAATTATGTAGGATAACAAAATCGAAAGCAGTTGTTTTGCTTTTGAATACTTGAAAATTAATCTAGGCGTTCGGTCGTTAAACCATCTGCATCGTTTAAATATTTAGTAATTTTTCTCGTGAATCATTCACTTGTCAGTTCTCGCTCTTCCAGTTTACTGTTCTTCGTTTGTAATTATAACGTTTTTTTTACAACTGGGGCTCAGTAACGATTTATCATCTATGCTCTTATCAGTGCTTTTTACCGCTAGTTGACTCAAAGTAGCACATTGTTTGAGTTCTGCAATCTACACTTCCAAATTTGTTTATAAATTGTAGGAAAGCTAGAACTTCTACTCAATTGTGTGTCAGACTTTAATGATTAAATATTATTTTTCATTAGTTACATAGTTTTGGAATGGAAGTTCTCATGTTAGCGTTCACGTTAGCTCCTGATATAACAGAAGGTAAGAGTATATTTCAGTTTACAGAAAGTATGAATGAAGCAGACCAAATTAGCAAATCGAAATAAATTACGAAGAACTAACATGAACATTGAACATAGTATCAATTTGCCCCCCCCCCCCCCCCCCCAGATTCCAGAGTAAACCAGTTTAAATAATTCACGTCACGGTCCATAAAATGTAAATTTTCTTATCAGCAAAGTGGATGCCTGTGATCAGAGGATACGATAACCCAGTGAGCATCAATATGCCGGGTGAACCCCTCTACATCAGAACCAACTCGAAAGAAGACAGCAAGGAGGGAGTGTGGATAGACTTCGGAGGATCTGGTCGATATGGGCGCTGGTTCGAGATTAACTTCGGCAATAACTACGGCAGTGTAACTAACTACTTCCTAACAAACTGTGATAACTCTCAGAGGTACCCTTCAGTCACTCAACGTCAATTCATCAACCTACCTTCCAATGACAACAAATATTGGAAGATCAACAAGGAGCTCGATAGACTGACTGTCCACTGCAATGGCATTAAAGTGTTGGAGTACATGTTTGCAACAGCAGAGGAAAGTGTGTGCGCAGACATATATGGAGTCCAGGACACGACAATCGTCTTCAGTACCAGAGATACAGCATCAGACTCTTATACTATCGGGGAACCTCCAGAAAGTACGTTTAATAGCTCAACTGTTCGATACATGTACATTGTACATTGTACATTATTAAACAGTAATTTTGTAAATTTGTAAATACCAGTAGGCAGTATAATTAATAAAAATATAATTAATAAATCTTATTTTTTGGACAAACAACATTCCGCCAGATTGAACAGTCATCCATCTAATACTGTTACTTCAGTTTCCTGCACCACTTGGCCCGGTGATGAGAACCAGTTTGAACTGAGTGAGGACCTACTTCCAGTGGAGCACGGAGCAAACATTTCACTAGCGTGTCGGACAGGTTATACACTTTCTGGGAGCCACTCAGCTCTGTGTCAGTTCGGAGATATAATCCTTCCTCAACAACAAGGCAATCCACCTTGTGTTCCAGGTTGATATTACTGAGATTTTAGATGATCATACTATATAAAAGATACATAGACGGGTTTTTCATAAGATTTTGTGGAACAAATTAACACAAGAAAGCATTCATAATCATGATGTTCATTGTTTAGCGAATGGACCACTTAAAAAATTAAAAGACATTACTCTCAGCCTAAAAATGGATCTTCAAAGATCTGGCTTTGTTCTTTAAAGCTCCAGCTCCCCCTGCCTACTGAACGGGAGGCCTGTTTTTAAGCTTATGGCTGAACAATATGAGATAATAATTATATTATAGGCAATATCATCTTCTTTTTTGGACAAACAACATTCCACGAGATTGAACAGTCATCCATCTAATACTGTCACTTCAGCTTCCTGCACCACTTGGCCCGGTGATGAGAACCAGTTTGAACTGAGTGAGGACCTACTTCCAGTGGAGCACGGAGCAAACATTTCACTAGCGTGTAGGACAGGTTATACACTTTCTGGGAGCCACTCAGCTCTGTGTCAGTTCGGAGATATAATCCTTCCTCAACAACAAGGCAATCCACCTTGTGTTCCAGGTAGATATTACTGAGATTTTAGATGATCATATTATATAATAGATCTACATAGACGGGTTTTTCATAAGATTTTGTGGAACAAATTAACACAAGAAAACATTCATAATCTTGATGTTCATTGTTCAGCGAATGGACCACTTTAAAAAAATTACTCTCAGCCTAAAAATGAATCTTCAAAGATCTGGCTTAGTGGCTTTGTTCTTAGCTCCAGCTCCCCCTGCCCGCTGAACGGGAGGGCCAGCAGGCCTGTTTTTAAGCTTATGGCTGAACAATAAGAAAAATAATTGGGATAAATTATATCATAGGCAGTATCATCTTCTTTTTTGGACAAACAACATTCCGCCAGATTGAACAGTCATCCATCTAATACTGTCACTTCAGCTTCCTGCACCACTTGGCCCGGTGATGAGAACCAGTTTGAACTGAGTGAGGACCTACTTCCAGTGGAGCACGGAGCAAACATTTCACTAGCGTGTAGGACAGGTTATACACTTTCTGGGAGCCACTCAGCTCTGTGTCAGTTCGGAGATATAATCCTTCCTCAACAACAAGGAAATCCACCTTGTGTTCCAGGTAGATATTAGAGCGTGTTAATTGAGTAATTGCTATTTTAGATGACAATATTTCAATAACATTGTGTTTTAGGAAGATTTTACAAGTAACGACTAACGATTGACATTACGTTAATGATACAACAACCTTTCATCCACATTTCAAGCAAGTCACACTCATGACTCAGCCATTTCAATATTATATAATATATGTTATATTTTATCTTGTATATTATCTATTCTACATTATACAGTAAACAAAAATCCGATTTCTTATACATTTTGAAAATAACACAAACTACTTTTAACTCAGATATCAAATATTTCTTTTTTAAACTTACAGAGACTTGGTAAGCGTCTCCTCGCCTCCGTCGAGGTGAGTAGTACTATTTATAGTTCTACAAGTTCTTTATATGGAGTTGGGGAAAAGTATTACGCAGTACGGTACGGATTGATCAGGGATCTTATTCCTAGTAAGATAAATGTCCTGCGGTTTTAAAAAACCATGTCTGGGCATTTTATCATAAATTGAGTTTCTATCATATCAGGTTCGTCATAGTTTATATACCTTCGCCGCAAGCAGTAACAAACCGCAGTAAATACTAACATGACTTTCATTTGTTTGATGAAACTAATAGTTTAAACCTGTACTAATGCCATGATAATGTGATAAAACGACTGCTGACAATATGAATATAGCGCTATCGGGACTTGTAAGTTTCGTAGTTAATGGTTCTAAAACGGTTTTCATTTCAGATGCAGCCAACTACAAGAATTCCTCGCTGGAAGTTACTAAAATAACCCAGCTAAGATGATCCAGCTCAAATATTCTCTAAATCCGGACATTGTAATGGTTTCGAGCAAATGTTTTCCTGTAAAATGAGCGATTGAAATCATGGACATGCCAATTGCCAGTACATGTTGACTCATCAACTAAATTTTGAATTTTTAAACATCTTTGTAAATTATTATATTATATCATTTTATAAGATTTTTGTTTCACTGGGATTGACAGAGATCAATCATATTTCAAAGATGTGTGTTTTATCTTATTTCATTAGCTAACAGTTGAAATTTTCAATTACCTTGTTTCCAGTTTATGAATGGGTTCAGCATTTCTGCTTTGTAGGTTCTCTAACTTTTCATCTTCCAGAATATCCAGATTTTCTAAATACAATTCATTTGATAACTTTAGTATCTCCATATCATCCAGATTCTCCCTAAATTGCAATTTGTCCTCTAGCATGGCCATGAGAACACTTTCTTCGTCTTCAGTCAATTTTTCTTCTTTATAATCATCATTTTGATCGGGCTCTTGTCGCAAGTCATTGCTAGTGCCGAGCATATTTATCATTTCCTCTGGATTTAGTGGTGGTGCCTCAGTGTTCAGTTTAAAGATCTCTTCGACCGTATAGTAATCTTTGGTCTTTGGTGCACTTTTCTGCAAGCTATTTTCAAACATTCGCTCATAATCTAAACCATTGTCAACTTCTTTATCGCCGAAATCATTGCTACTATTTTCATTATAATAAGCAACATCAATTTGTTCATCACTTAATTCAACACTGTTACTCGCTAAACTCACATAATGCTCAGTCACCATGTTACTATCCAGAGCCTGGTCGTGGGGCATGAAACCATTATCAATAGAACCATCTGGGTCATGATTATATTCATTATAGTGTTCCCATTGAGCACCGATACCATCATCAATAAATTCTGAGCTGAGATAATCTGCAGAGGAACCATCATTTACATCACTGCCATACGCATCTTTACCACTGCTAACAGATGTGCCGACACTTTCATCAGCACGACCTATAAATGAATTCTCAAAATCGTATCCCATATCCTGTAGCTCGTCAAGCTCGTACTGTATATCTTCCTCAAAATAGTTCCTGTCAGGCTGCCCAGGAACATATACTCCGTCTTCATGTCCACTTGTTTCGCTCTCAATGAAATCGCTTCTGGCAGCTTCGACTTCTGCATCATCAGATGTATTTGTTTCATTTTCGAACTCATCAACTAATAAATCCTTTGAATTCTTATCGATACTGCTACAAATCTTAGAGCAAATTCTTCCCTGTTCATCCTCACGACAATCAATTCTAGTCCGGTGCCTGCTGGAGAGACCATCTTCTCCACAAGACCCATCACACTCGCTCCACTCACTCCACTCCACTGGGTCACACAAGTTGGAGTACTGAGATGAATCTGAGAGATCTCGGACCACTAAGTTATTTGGGACTACTTCTTCGTCATCTAATAATGCTGTGCTTGAAACTGTGGGTTTGAGTGAATCACGTGCTTCTTTTAAACCTGCAACCTTTTTTGTTTAATCTTCAAGAAATATTTCCTAGTCTGGTAACCAAAAACGAATCTACTTGATGGTAGATTTGAATGATAGATTGAAAGCTGGAAGTATTTTATTCATTAATGCATATAATATACTTTTATACCTGAAGAAATATGAATGAAACTCGAGATTGATAAGATAATGAGTGAGAAGTGGATTGAATTTGAAAGTGGGGTCTGAAATTTGGTCATCCAGTTCTTTTCTACTTCTTCATTCCATCAAATAATCTGAACTATACTTTTCCTAATGAGGAAAAGAAATGTCACTTTTCCACGTAAAATAGTAGAATATCATCGCTGAATTAAAATTTCAATTGAATTGTAACTTCAATGGTATCATATATGTAGTTCATATTTAAAATATATAGTTTATTAACACAGTATATCAAGCAGTGATATATTCAAATTCATGAAACTGATGATCGAGCATAATATCATTGGTATTCGATATCTTACGCTATTTTTATTGATAACTCGACTCAATCAATAAACAGTGATACATGCATTGATAAGGAAATTATAAGCAACAGTTGAAATAGATAACAAAGCATCAAAACAATTAATAACAAAAAATTTTAACTTTGTGAAAAAAAGGTGAATATAATTAATGTCATGATTAAGTGCTACTTGATTATAAAAATAAACGCTTTAAAAAAACACAAATTGGAATTGCTATAACCAAACGTTCTGTGTTCGAAAGATTAAAAAATGCAGCTTGTGAAAACAATTAATAACACTTTAACACTTTGGATGAAAATCAATTTGACAGACCTAGATCTCACTCGACTTTAAGTACCGGATTCTATGTTCGAAACCCACGAATCGACCTGAAAAATTAATAATTGCGTCAATTCGAATAGAATATTAGTACATAAAAATGCATCAGGTCAATTAATCTTACCATAAGATCTGAAGTCTTTGACCGGATATAGTTATACCTGTTTTATCTGCAGCCAGACACCAGAAGGCATAGTGAAAGTAGTAAATACAAGTTTGTAACGCTCTAATTGAACCCTATCCATACAACTCCGCATCATATCAGCATTCCAATCTGAAAAATAAACGATTTGGTTTTTCTAATCTCACTTTGTCATGGCTTATAAGTCGGATAAATGAAATATCAATTGTATAAACACAATTTTATGTTATTTAGTAATTACCTTCATATATTGAGACTGGGACACCAATTAGCTTCTCTGCACATTCCCCCGTCAACTTAACATTATCAGTCGTTCCTGAAATGAACTGGGTTGGTTAAAACTAAACTTACCAAATGGGAGTCATAAGACGAACAATTTCAAACAAGGCAAAAATATTTTAAGATAAATAATCTAACCAGTGTGGTCTGTGAGAGAAACTGTAAAATCATAGAACGGAACAACGTCTTTTCCAAAACATTCAGGTTTAGCACAAAGACCTGGCACTTTTTTATGACAGCCAGTGCACCTCTTGGAAACACTCCTTTTCATATCGGTGCAATCAAATGTAGTCAGTACAGCTTGTAATACTCCACTTTCTGGGCAGTCTGAGAGAATCTCTTCGATTGTTACTTCTTTTGTGATACTTCCCAGTGATATCTTGGAGTTGTTGGTGTTTGTAAGACGGCGGATTGATGGCTCTAAGATGTCGTCAGGTAGTTTCTGTGCAAAAGCATACAGAGTATGGGCAGCCTTAATGTCTGGGTTTACGGTGACAATCGTTTTTTTATTGGCTTCCAACGAAACAGTTTCAGTAAAAGTATCCATCTTAACTTTAACACCATACAGTAAAAGCAGGGTTTGTTTAGGAACAAGACTGAAAGTTAAGTCTGCTAGAGATTCAAGCCACGTGACGAGGCGCAACACTTCTTTAGAACTGTCTATCACTTCAAATTCACAGCAAGTTGCTGGCCGACCATCTTTGGTCACCAAAGCTCGTTTACTAGGCGAAGTCTTGACAATAACAAGACAGTTTATATGTCTGCCAACATAGGAAAATTGAGGGTTTGATATCTGATCAAGAGATGTGTAGTTGATGTCTTGACAGTAAGGCTTGTGTCTCAAGCTGTCATATTCTTCACAGCCGTAAGTCAACGGCTCAAGTCTACTATGTTTTTGATCAAGCTGAAATGATCAATATCAGTAAATGGTCAGCTGCCTCGATTAATGAACCATGTCAGATGAATAAAAAAAATTCTCTGTATAAGTATAAAAATGAAAATTATAAGCATATAGTTGCACGATTAAATCAAGTAGCTCACAGATATTTTGAAGGAAACAGTTGTCTCAGGATTGAATATTTTCTCCTGTTCTGTCTCCGGCTTGTCTTGAACATTACAGTTTACCAGTTTCACTACATCGTTGATGAAAAACCTGAGGCTAGGGTTGATCAATGATCCCAGCCAGGATACCAAAATATTCTATAAGGTTTTGGTTTACGTTTGTATTGAGGATGATTACTGATTCACTGAATGCTTTTCAAATCATCAAAAATCTGAATCACAGACTGATTTATTGATGAAAATTAGTGCTTGTGAGTTACATTGCATGTTATGTGCAATAATCTCTTAGTCAAAATGCAATGACCTATACATTTTTTCCTAAATAATAGATATGGCCCATACCAAAACACTAATTCAAAATAAATAACTTCTTTGTAAAGATAAGGCTGGATAGAAAAACAGTAAAGCTTTATAACAATAAATTTACTTTTGAGCCAACTGTTGAATAAACTGCAAAGTTCCCCAGCAAGTCACATTAACTATTGCAGACTTGTCTCGTATTGTGAAAGTCATTGCTCCTCTTTCCTCGCCATTTTTGCTAGTTACCTGACGGCCTTCCTGTTTTGCAATAACAAGCCCAGTTATGTCCTGCCCCGATACACCTGATTGAAAACATAAGGTTTCATAGTTGCTGGCAAAAACTTTAATACAAAATAAGAAACTTGATAACTGTAACAATAAGGAAAACAAAGGAAAACACAATTTTGTTTTCCTTAAGACAAAAATTAAAATTTGTTACTGTTTGTTACTGTAACTATATTAACCATAAATCAAATAAACTTTCGAACGTTTATATATATTTAATGTAAGTGAGAGGAAAAAGAAATTACATACCAATTTTCAAGCTAGTAATAAGAGAAACTGAATCAATTGATTGCTGTCCTTCATTCCACATTGCAGGCGATCAATCGTTAATCAATGCTAGATTAGAATGTTGAGTAGAATAAATGTAATTACATGTTTGGCCTAACATGTAAAGCCAAGTTAACTTTTATATTTTTAAATTTAGATTCAAATTTTCTTGTCATTCAAATGAATATCGTATTAAGAATATACGTAATAGGTGACATCTGTTATTAAACTATAACATTGAACTCATTACAAAAAATATCATCAAATCTATAGTGTAGTAGATGATAATCTTACTATATATAAAGCGATACGATATCTTACTATATATAAAGTGAGACGATATATGTTTATCCATACCATTTTACTGACACCACGGCATCTACTTTAACGCTACTTTCGGGAAAAACACGTACAAGATATACTACTGAAACCTTTTTGACTGGGTCAAATGCTTCAATGGCCCCCAAATCAGCATGAGAAAAAAAACGCGAATTAAATAGGTAATAATTATTTTAGTCTTGACACCATTTTAGGGTTATAAGGGTTCCTGCTAGGATATATAATGTATAATATACATAGAGATATATATCCGTACCATTTTACACCACAGCATCGTAACTTTAACACGACGTTCCGCAAAAACTGTAAAAGATATAAAACTGAAACTTTGTTGACTGGAACAAATACCTTAATGGCCTTCAAATCAGTGCAAGGTTTACAAGGTTTACAAGGTTTACAATGTTTACAAAGATAGATCTATATATTACAGTATAATAATGTTAGATCGGCAATGCTAAAATTAATCCAAATTCCGTAATCCAAATAAGAGAGAAAACCATTACCAAAATGTCGTGGTGTCACTATAAAGCCAGAGGCGAGTGCAAATCGATCAAGATAGAAGCTATCAAAAAGAGCGAGAAAAGCACGCAAACCCTAGCAGGAAAACAACAACAAAGTGAAATGTGAAAAATAAAGATGCTTGATGTGTGATTGTGTAGTCAATGATGTGATTGTGTTGGAGTGGAGTGCAAATGTAGAGTGCAGATGAAGGTGATGCGGCGGAGAGGTGATGTCTCGTACTGTGGCACTAGTGTTTGGGTTTCTTCTTCACAGGAAATTGTGTTCTGCATAGCTGAGCGACGAATTTGGTGAATTCCACTATGTGTTTCGGAAAAAAGATGCTCTTCATGTCATGAAATAGCAAGGACTTTGTGGGCTCCTTCATGTTAGTCCTACTGGAATAATACCTGGGACATGTTCTAAGGAAGTGTTCTTCATCTTCTATGATCGGGTCGACACCTGGAAGGTTAAGGAGGAGCTCCATCACGGGCTTCTCGCTGCAGAATTCACAGATTATATAATGACGACTACCAGTTCGTCTCCCATATCTTCCTTTTTCTACGTTAAGTTTATGTCCACTCATTCGGATCCTAGCCACGAAGTTGCTTCCAGTTCTCGACGGTAGAGTGAGGTACGGCTCCGCTTTGAAAGCCTCTTTAACTTTATTGTATTGTCTTACTGTTTCCCATAGTTTAATAAATCGATTGTGTGCCCTTTCTTGACACAGCAATGGGTTGTAAAGTTGATGTTCTAGTTTGTTCTCGTAAAGTATCATTAGCATCGATTCTAGTGCTCTGAACCATCCTAGGTCAAGTTTCTTCTGCTCCACAAATGCGTGCCTGGCCAGAGCTGGCGAGTCTTCTAGGTTAAGTCTTGCAAGTCGATTATGGAAATCAGTGCCTTGTTTGACATATTGAACTACAATAGGTCTAGGGGTTCTTCTGCAGTCTCCCCAAACAGCTGCGTTGGATGTAGTTTTGCCAACTCCAAGGGTCCATTTAAGGATGGTGAGATGCATTCTTTCAAATGGGTCAGCTGCAATGCCTGCCAGTAGGGATTGCATCGGATTGACACTTGTGCTGGCAAACGCCTTTATTCCTTATACTGATCAAGACTTCTATTCCATAGGACACAACTGGCAGGATGAGGGAGTCAAGCAGTTTGTGTTGGAACCCTGTTTTTGGGTTAATTAAATAACAGATAATACACAATTATTATAAATACAAATTAGATGAATAAAGAGGTTATACAAATAAATGGCGTGTCAAATGTAACCCTGTTACTCTTTATACTTGGAATATTTATTGATCTATCTAAAGCGTTTGACACGATCTCACATGAACTATGGAATACGTGGAAACGCCAATAGACTCATCGCTAGTTATCTCTCTAATAGATATCAATATGTCTCTGTACTGGGCGAAGAGTCTGACAAGCTGCCTGTTCTCTTTGGAGTTCCCCAAGGCTCTTGTCTCGGACCCTTGCTATTTATAATATATGTTAACGACTTATTTAGAACAACTGATCTGGGCAAGTTCATACTATTTGCAGATGACACAAACATATTCGTAGTAGATGAATGTAGAAAAAAACTGTATGAAAGAGCAAACGAAATTCTCCGTTTGTTACACCAGTACATGAAATGCAATCTATTACATATAAATATAAAGAAATGCTGCTACATTCACTTCAATCCGTCACGTACAGCTACTGATAATGAGGCAGATAACGAATCAGAATATATACTAACTCTGAATAATACGGTAATAAAGCAAGTTAAAGAGACCAAGTTTTTAGGTGTTATTATTGACGAAAAGCTAAAATGGGATGTTCAAATAAGAGCCCTCAACTCGAAACTTAGGTGTGAGATCGGAAGACTCAGTAGAATACGACACGTTATCCCGAAAAAAACACCATAAAGAATTGTACCACACGTTATTTGAGTCACACCTAAGATTTGGAATATCGGTATGGGGTGGGTCGAGTAACAATATGCTTCAACCTATCTTCATCACTCAGAAAAAATGTATCAGAATACTATTTGGTGACCTTGAAGCATATCTAGATAAATTTAGAACATGTGCCAGAACACGTTGTATAGATGAACAAATCCTAGGAAGGGAATTCTTTGAAAAAGAGCATACAAAGCCGTTGTTTAACAAGAACGGCCTTCTTACCGTCCACAACCTGTACAAATACACATGTCTATTAGAACTGTTCAAAATTGTCAGATTAGAATCTCCAATCTCACTCCTATCTTTACTCCACAGATCACCATCACAAAGACGTTCAGACCAGTTCATCACCCCGAACCCATCCTCCTCTTTCATTTATCAATCAACAAAAATGTGGAACGACTGTCGAAAAATTGACAGTTTGATAAGCTTTACTAAGTCAACGAACTTAGTTAAAGTAACACTGAAAAGTGAGCTACTCAAGATACAGTCCAGGTACGAAGAATTAGAATGGACAGAATTAAACTTCGATAAGAATGAGCTTGTATTTTAAAACAGAGTCCTTTGACTTTATTATTTTGAAATTGAAGAATCGTCTGGCCATAACTCATTTCGTTCGCATTATAGATTCACATTCACTTTCATTTTCACTATCACGCACAGTACAGGGTCATACCTCAATACCAAATTATTATAGGGCACAAGAACGAATTTGTTTACAATTATCAAAATTTGTTGAACCCAGCAGCTTACTTCCTTTCCTCTCTTCCCCCGTCGTCTGGAGCGTGTGATTTTTGTTGATATCCGAGCTCTTATTTTTATCTTTTGGTTAACTTTCTGTGATTGGACTCGGTATTTTCGTCCCGGCCGAGTGGGACGATGCTTGCTCGCCAGTTAAGCTATACTGTAGATGACACCAATTTCTACAAACCACAAAATATTAAATATAAAATGTGTCCAGTATGGCGCAAATACATAATTTGATAATTTCTTGACGCCGTCGTCGGGGTGAGAGTTATCTGAACCAACTGCATGCCCCTACGATTGCGTCACCACTGGTGAGCAAGCATTTGTTTGTTGTTTAGTTGTGTTGAAAGGGAACATTACTTGATTAATTCATCCATTCGGATTTTAATAACGATGAGCTATGATATACCGTTCATCTTAGACTATTGGATCAATCTTATGATGATTAGATTTTATAAACGAACTTGGCACACAAAAGATTATAATGCGGAGGTTGGCTGGCTCTTCTATAATAAATACGACACTTCAATTTACAGAATGCTTGCTAGAGATAAGACAAAATATTATCAGACTATACATGCAGCATAAGTAACTGGTGGATAAGCCTTCGGTAAAAACGGATCCGGAAAAGTCAATGCGGCACTCGGGTCCTTGGTATTGTCGTCGGTATATTGTCCATTATCTACGTTCTGCTTTCGTAAATCAAATCAAATCAAAATATAATGACACAAACATCATCACACATCATCAAAAATATATCTACTAAAGTTTTAAAAATATCTTAAATCTATTGGCCTAAACAACCAAGATAAAATTAATCTAATTTACATACTTTCCACTACTATATAAGTTAATAAAGCGTTTCTTAGCAACATGAGGATTACGCACAAGATATTCATTGTGCTTCTCTTTATTAGTAGCATAATTTAATCCCTCAATTTTTCCTAATACTTCGTCCGAAACATACCAAAAATGAATATCATTTACGGATCCGTTTAAAATAGTCTCTTTTTTGAAAGCTTCTAATCTTATTTTAAAACTTAACACAGTCCCACAATTCTTGACATCCGAGGGGAGTTTGTTCCAATAAGGTCTCACCCTCTCCGGAAGAAAAGAACTGTGGACTTTCTTCATTTTACTGCTACTTTTACTGCATCTACTGTTTGATACCACATTAAAACCAGATCTGCTCATACTGAACAAATCAGCTCCGTAATTGGCCAAACCACTTATCATTTTAAAAGATTCAATGAGGTCCCCACGTATTCGCCGCTCTGCCAGCGTTGTTAAATTGAGGATTTCCAGTCGACGACTGTATGGAAGAGTACCCACCTCGTCAATCAGACGGGCAAACCGCCTCTGGACGCTCTCCAGCTCCAAGATGATCCCCCAACTTCCATGAGCCGCAACTGGACTCCACAATTGAACACAATACTCTAAATGGGGTCTTATTAAAGCTTTGTAAATGGATATCATCACAGATTTTTCCCTGATAATCAGATTTCTAACAATCCAACATATCATTCTGT